CCCAACTTTGGAGATGAAGTTTATAAAGTTAAGATCTAAGCAATGGTGTACTTTAAGAAGACATCACAAAAACTTATCTTCTGGTTTTGAAAATGGCTTATGAAATCAAATGTCACACTGCTTCTATTCTGAGTACATCATATTGGAGAAGGGATAATTTCATCTCCTGATCCCTCCATTTGTTGATCTGAAGGACTTTGCATGTTCATTTATTTCCTGCTGTCTCTTAGGATAGAAATTGGGCAGAGGAACACCAACCCCCAACTTGTACTGAAGGTTAGGGTAGCAGAACTTTTACAAATGTTGTCCAATTATCAAAACTAGCTGCTAAGCAAAGAGAAATACATACTGGGGAGATTGAGACAATTAACGTGTAGAAGATAATGCCTGGGCACAAACACTTAAAATGAGAATGGATGAGAAATCAAAGTGAATTTCAAATGTAATGCCAAAATAGCTGAATTGAAAAAAATCAGCTATGCTTACAGTTCAGCTATTGTGGTCGAAAGTTTGAAATTCATTCTGCATCCTTTTAGAATTCCCACCAATTCTCACGTTAGTAATTAACCCTCGATATTTTATTTTTGATTTTAAAAAAAAATAACACAAAAAAATTAAAAACAACATTTGTCCCCACCCCAAATTAAAGTAGGATTTTTACCAATTCTGCAATCTCCATGCACAAGTTACAGAATAAGCCACATGTATACAGCTCTGAAGACATATGTAGGAACCCATTAAGACACCCTGATGTACAAAGAATGACTTAAAAGGCTTCAAGACCCCCAAACACCCACAGATTCTATGAGCAGCAAAGAGGATATGGAGAATAAATACAGAGAAGGTCCCCAGCACCCAATAAGAAAAGGTTGGTTTAAATTATATTGTCCCTCTACTCACCCCATATTTTAGGGAATGATATACCTGACAGGGGCTCCTCCTAAGCCTACATAACGTGAAAGTAAGTTTTCTATCCCAAAATGTACCGTCCCTTCTTAGGTTCCAGGAGATGCAGAACCTAGTGGTCTTTAAGTTATCCCCTGCGTCCTACTTGTGACAGTGTCCAGAGAGTCCACAATCAGTCCTGTGTCCTCCCTACCCATAACAATATTACTTTCTTGCTATAAATAATACCTTGTCGGTCTCCACTTACGTGTAACAATAATAATATTAAAATTAAAAATTACCCTACCTATCCCCATTACATTTAATAAATACAGGAAAGAGGGATTATGAATATTTATAAATATTAAAACCTTTCAAATTAATAACATTAATCACAAGTATATTGTGCTGTCCCTTGATTGCTCACTCTGCCCTACATTGGCATGAATCGGGGGACTGAATTGTATTCTGCTTCTCAGTGGTCTTACACGTTCCCAGTTTGCCCTGTTGTAGTCCATGAAAAATGCAGAGGCGAGACTCATCTTCCTGTATCCCTGCACCACCCATGCTTCCCTCTCTGACAATCTTTACACTGGCTTCCCATAAGATATATGGCTGGATTTAAAATTCTGGTTCTTGCTTACAAATTGCTGCACACTGCTGCACCTATCTACCTATCCTCACTGATACACAAGTATGTCCCACCCATTCCCATACGCTCTACTGGAGACCTACATCTACTCTCTCTTACTGCTCGCACCTCTGATGCCTGCCTCCAAGTCTTCTCTAGGGCTGCGCCGGTCATATGGAACCCACACTCCACTCCTTCAAAACATCATTAAAAGCCCACTTCTTGAGGAAAGCATTCAAATGAAACTGTTCATAGCGTTCCCTCCCCGCACCTTGTTAGCCCACTCCGCTTCATCTCCTGCCTGTGTCATCCAATAAACTAATCCTTGCCTGTGAACTATTCTAGTGACCTACTTTTTCTCAGATATATGAAACACATCCTACCCTTATCTCTTGTGCCACTTTAACCCATCTCCCTCTAGAATGTAAACTTGTTTGAGTAGGGCCCTCAATACCCTCTGCTCCTGCGTGTCCATGTCAAATACATGTCTACAGAATTTGTTGCCACTTTATAAATAATAATAATAATAAAGCAAGGCCATGTAAGAAGTTGCCCAAGAGCTGAGTAGCACTCGCTCGTGTGTGCGCTGTCAATGTCTAGATTGGATCAGGAAGTTTGGAGGACAGTCTGGACCACTACTATACATTACTCCATCAGGAAGTAGGGGATTGTCACAGTTATCTTCACTCAATTTTTGATTTCTGAATCTTGTAACTTGTTCTGCCGCATTATATCTGAGAAACTCTTGTGTGTACAGCAGTATTTTGAAATTTGTTTTAAAAAAAGGGGAATGGTAAGTGAAGGAAAAGGAATAAAACGTATCAGTTGCCTGCTTTATCACCAAAGTCTTCGATTTTAACTGGTAGTAAAGTTTGATAAATGTTCAGAGATGCCAACATTTTTTATTTATTTCTGTTATACCTTAATATTGACTGTGCCTTTTATAAGAGAAGATTTTCTTTAGACATTTTAGTAGTAAAACAAACAAAAAAATATTAGTAAAATAGATCAGAGAGACACTAAGGAAAACCTACCGACATGATGACATTATAAATAAAGAAACAAAGGTAGAGAGGGGAGACAGAATACAAGAAAAGGTGACAATTAGAAATCAAAGACAATACGCCTCTGTTACAATTGATAGGGAAAGGGAGTGAGACAACGGGGGGGGAAGGCATACAAAAGGGTAAAATGTCCTTCTATTCAGTGCAATATGTATTACAAACCAACTCAATAGTATAGTTATCCATTTTTCCTTTTCTGTTTCTTTCATTTATGTGTTATTTTTGTTTGTTTTTTTCTTCTTCATATATGTGTTAATGTATAAAGACAACAGTCATGAGCTGATCAGCCTGTTAAACGCACAGCATTTTATCAGATAATTTTCCATATAGACCTCTATCGACAATGGAGGCTCAGGTGGACAACAGTATGAAAGCGAAGATATGGGTAACAACATGAGTAACGTTGTAATGCCAGTGTAATGTTTCATTACTATAAATGTCAATGTATGATGTACACCAACAGTGATGTATGCTGCCATAACCAACTGTTCGTGTTCATGTTTAAAATGTCGGCTCAATGCAAAGCCATATAAAAAGCCAATAAAAATGATACAATGAAAAAAAAGAAAACAAAGACTTACTTGAGAAACATGGGATGAGGAAGGATGTAGAGGAAAGAGAAGTAAAATTCACAGTAGACAAAAATGACAATTTCTCAAGTCATCTTCTACCGTAACTGTTGAAACAGACTAGCGGAGTTATTCACCAAGAATCAGATTGTGTCTGGTTGGCTGCTAACCCATGATTTGCAATAACTGACATAGCATGGGAAAGCCTATATAAGGACTTTCCCCACTATCAGAGCTCCGTCTGTGGAGAGCCCTCCACGAGTGAAGATGGATTAATTTTGGTTGTGATTTGGGATTTTTCTCTATTTTCATTAGTTACGTCGGTTATTATGGATTTCTATTTGACTTTTTTTGAGGCTGAAGAATTAGAAGAAAGAAGACTTTTTTTACACAGGTATTAGATTTGTTGTAGTTATGGATATATTTTATAAGGGAGTGTCAAAAAGAGTGGGGATACTTAGCTACTGATGGTGGGTAGATGCAGAAAGGATATGTCATTATTTGGGGGGTTAAGAATACCAGGTCCCCACCTCCTTTTTTATTTAATTAATTAGAGTCCACAGTCCCCACCTAACCCCATGGGTGGGGTATTAGGTCCTACACCCTGAATATTATAAAAGTTCCCACCCTACTAGTGCTGCAAGTGGGAAAATAGTTTGGATTTGTTTTTAAATATGGATGGGATTTGGATCCTCTAAGCCCGGATTTGAAGCATTTGATCCAGATATCATCTGTCCGATGATGCTGTGTCTGGCTGAAATCCAAACCAATTTTAGGCCCAGGGCTGTATTTTGCCTTGGAATGGTCCCATATGCAGCCGAATGGTTTTGACACACACAATACTGAGCCATTTGGACTTTAGTAAATAACCTTATAGGGAATCCAGGAATAAAACAGAGGCAAGGAATGTATTTAAGATAATACAGACCGAAAAAATGAATAGAAACAAAGAAATAAGTGACTGGAGGCCCCATTACATCAGTATTCTCAGTATTACCCCTAGTCATTGCATTTTCATAACTCATCTCATGACTTGGCACGCAGGGTGTAAGGCAGAGGCCGAAGGTTTACAGTTATACCTGCCTGCTTTCATTACCCTCCAAGACTCCACACAAGGTGGAGGAAGAGGGGTGAGCTATTTGCTAAGCCGCACTGGTTAATTTATTTTCCTTAGTCATACCCATCATGATACATGTCCTCTAAAATTCCACTTTTCCTTTATTATTTTTATTACTATTGGTATTTATATAGCGACAGCTTATTCTGCAGTATGAATGTAAGAGGGGGATTTACCAAATGAGACAATAACAAAATGTAACAGGAACAATAGGTAGTTGAGAACCCTGCTCAAACAATCTTACAGTCTAGAGGAGGTGGGGTATAAAAATACAACAGGAAGGGTATTGAGGGAGATAACAAATAGACTTGGTGGGAAAGTGGCAGAACTGGAGGTGAGAGTGGAGTGTGACCCTTTAGGAAAGAGCAAGAGGAAGGTTTGAGAGATAGAAGTGGTTTTAGCAACAATGAGATTTAAATGCTGACATTGCTACAAAGATGTTGAAATGTTACTGTACTCATCTATTCATGAGAATTATGCCACCATTCACATAGTGCTGCTAATGCTAAATTAGGGAGAGAATAGGGCGAGATTAAGATTAGAGGGAAATATCAGGGTTATATATGTATAGGGTTAGGAAGTACATGCCTTCAAGATTCTGTAAACTGTATCTCTCATGATTATTTGATCCACGATAACATAAAAAAAATTAACAAAAAGAAAAAGAAAAGTCCAGGAATTATGTGGATAAATGCAGATTTATTCCTTCACTTGGACAACGGAACATCAATGTTTGAATTTTCACATCCAATTCTTAATCAACACAAGAGGCTGGACTTTCCTACACTATTCCTACAATGTGTGGGTTCAATGTTCATTATGAGCTGCCTGTTGTCATACACACTCTGCTCTAGACCAATCGAAATATACCCAGTTTTGTCCAGAAGTAATGGGTGGATTAATTGGTCTCCTTATCTGCTCTTCCTCTATTTGGGCCTTTCTAGAAAAAGCATTGAATGGAATGTTTCATATAAACCATCTATTGTTTGCAGCAACAAAAAAAGACTACCGTCTGCATTGTCTTTGAAATAAAAAGGATAACAAGCTATTTTCATAAATTCTAACAAACATTAAATAGATTTCACTGTAATTCTAAAAATCTTAGGTGAACAGTGGATTGAGTACACGATGGTCTACAGATGTCTTCTTCCACTTTGCTGTATCAGTCAGCTTTGAGAGTCTTTGTTGTAACGTCATGTTTGTACTCTGACTGTGGCTGGATCTCCTGGTTGCCGAGATATATTCCATTAAACAGTGGATTTATTGGAAGCTGGAGATGTTCTGCAAAGACCAGTTTGTCTTTCTTTCTTCTCTCTGTAAGAATAGAACAAATAATCAAATGTCAGTATCTTTCTAAACAGATGACAAATTATAATGGGGACAGAGGTCCTTTTTATCTGTTATTCTTATCCATGATTGAACAAATACAATGCTGAATGGCCATTCATGTTTACATCTAACTTTTTATACAATTGTTTTTTAAATCTTGTTTTTAGTTTCTTTTAAGCATGTGTAATGAGGCATGAAGTCCACAGAGAGAGTTTATTTACCTAAGTGTGACTTGTCAGAAGAGGAATTTTTTATATCTTTAAAAATAATAATGATAATAAGATTGGGAATATTGTCAAAATCTGGGAAGATTTCTGTTTAGCCGAGTTGGCTTTAAATTTGAAACTCGCTTTGAATTCCCAGCAATTCATAGTGTAATAATTAACTCTGATAGTCTTCATTACAGGATCACTATAGTGTCAGGAAAACAAAGCGGTTTTCTATAGTGCCCTCCAGGTGCCTCCACCCTCAGGGTTCCCCTCCCGTGGCGCTGAAGGGGTTAAAACCCCTTAAGCCACTTACCTTATTCCAGCACCAGGCTCCCTCGGCGCTGGTGACCTCTTCTCCCCCGCCGACGTCAGCTCCCTCTGCCGACGCGCGCGCATTTAAAGTGTCCATAGGAAAGCATTTTTCAATGCTTTCCTATAGACACTCTGCGTGATGGAGGCATAATATGCCTCCATCGTGGCAGATGCGCCTCTAGTGGCTGTCCGGAAGACAGCCACTAGAGGCTGTCTTAACCCCAAATGTAAACATAGCAGTTTCTCTGGAACTGCTATATTTACATCTGAAGGATTAAAACCTGAGGGACCTGGCACCCAGACCACTTCATTGAGCTGAAGTGGTCTGGGTGACTATAGTGTGACTATAGTGTTCCTTTAATGTTGTCTATATGGTGATGTTACAGATTTGAAACAAAATTTGTAGCCATGCACATCAGTCAAAGCACACTCACAATGACACTTCAATCACCAATTACATTTTGGTAATGGTGTATCTGAAATGGTTTGGAGAGTGATTGTCATCTGACTAGAACATGTCAAAAAAGTGGTCCCTGTGTGACATGAATTGGAAAAATAAATGTTATGACAAAGGCGATGAGCTACAATCTAAATTTGCATACACCCTACACCCTTTTTACCACTGTAGCCAACTGGAATCCTATATATCCCATATAACTACGGTATTCCTTGAATGTTCTCACATACGGATTGCATGTCACGTGAGGGCTTCCTCAAATATTGATCTTTTTAGAATTTAGTAATATTTACTGTAGGGAAACCATGTTCTATTCCTTCAGAAATCATTTTTTCTGATCTCTGATACTTTGTTCACAGACTATTAACCTTATTATTGGCTGGATCTCTTTACCTGCTCCTGTGCTACACAGAAGTAAAGAGTTTTGATGTAACGCTCCATTGTTTTATAGACTAATATTTAACCTATTATATAACGTTCCTACAAACCATCACTAAATGTGCAGGAGAAACTGTGATGGAAGTGGTTGAATTTGGCAAACCATCTTTACAATCAGTAAACCTGTTAGTTATTAATACATAGTGATTTTGAGTATGTCAATTATTATTGTCTTTTGCAAGAAACCAGTTCCTGTTCCCCCATTTAACATATCTACCTCTACATCAGAGGAACATTGGGTGGAAAGAATAATTTAAATACTCTGGATTGCCAATAGGGGGCGCAAGCAAAAATACGTGTCCAGTCAATCCAAAAAAACCTTACTGAAACATACAATAAAGGTTTTGACAGGCAATATAAGAAGTCAAAAAGGCTACATATCCACCTTATGCATGTCACACCCTTAGAGACTAGAGTAGAATAGATAGAGATTTACATAATAATTATAGGGAAGTTTTGTTTAATACCACCATAACAACTTTGCGCTAAGAAAATAATATAGTGCAGAGAGTCCATTGCATTCACTTTCAGTTGTGAGATTGGCTTAGTACTGAAGTGATTTGTAAATATAATTGCAGCTATAAGACAGCCACTTAGAGCGGTCAACATAAAGCATTCTAAATGCTATCAGTATTTGATTATGTAGTACATTAGTCTGCCACAACGCCAATGTACCCTATTTTAGCAGGTCCTATTCCAGTAATCTTCGGGTTACTAGAATAGGACATGCCAAAAATGGGATACATTGGGGTACATTGGCGTTCTGACAATGTACCCCAATGTATGATCATATACTATAACTAAACACAGATTATTTTTACCTGTCAGGTGTTTAAAAAAAAAAGATTATATTTTGTCAGCTTTGCGGTTTAGTAAAAGAGTGAGTGCACTGGATCTTGTATGTTGTATGAAACCTATGATGCATGCATGTTCAGGTGAGAGCAGCTCTTGGTTTCATATCTTAATATAGCTGGAAGTCCCGGCCCTGTGTTTGCACCCCTCCCTGTCACAGGTGCCTCATTCCAGAACCCTATCTAACCTTGACCTGCAGAGAGTCTCAGGGGGAAGGATTTAAGTGGGTTAATCTCATAAGAGCAAAATGACAAAAATGGGGTACAATGTGTTTTGGTGGGCTTATGCAATGTATTAGCATATACCTTAACTAAATCCCCATTCAGTGAGTAAAAGTATCAGATATATATATATGCATTCACCTATTATATATATATATATTAAATGTGCACAGAGCTATCAGCAGCATCATATGCCTATTTTAAGACTGATATTTCCTGTTACCGTAAAACAAAACTTTTCCATTTATTTGAACTTCTGCAAGTCTGTACATATGTGATATCTGTAAATATGTGATTATTTGCATTCTGCAAGTCTGTTTCTGTTTGAACGTCTGAACATCTGTAAACCTCGAAAGCAAACTTAATTGGCAGAATGACGGCGTCCTTAAAATATTTTATTAGTAAACCATTCTACCTGTCATTATGTCACATTCCAACCATTAAAAGAACAAGGAAAAAAACGACTGACACACATGTTTATTTAACCATACACATATATAAATATATATAAATATATACATATATAGTAACGTTTTCTCTGAAAAACTGTAAACAATTTATTATATAGCCTTTTTAACCCCTTAAGGACACATGACATGTGTGACATGTCATGATTCCCTTTTATTCCAGAAGTTTGGTCCTTAAGGGGTTAAAGAACTGAGGGTTATTTAACCCCTTAAGGACACATGACATGTATGACATGTCATTATTCCCTTTTATTCCAGAAGTTTGGGTCCTTAAGGGGTTAAGCACCGAGACGTGTTCATGTCTTATTCAATGTATTTTTTAGAATAATAAGCACCAGCCCTGATATCCAAACACAAGCAATCTTATCTGGCTGAGTGGGAGCAAACTGTACAAAGATTATCACACTCTCCAATGTGTCCTATCTCACCTGTCGAAATAAAACATAATCCGTGTTAGCATAGGGGGTGACTCTAAACTCTGCAGACTGAGTTCTGCAGGTAAATAAGGAATTCAATGAAACACCCTTTTCCCCAGCTCCAGCCAATGTACATATTGGTGAGGTTCTTTTGTTCATCTATACGGAGACGGGTTGCGTTATATGTCTTATAATATTTGGACATTTAAGAAACCTTGGGGTTTATTTGAAATCCTCTGTATTGGAATATAAAACTTTGTCCCTGTGCTCCAAACTGTTTGAAAAAGCATATCTTTAGATTATGAGCTTGTTGGGGCAGAGCACTATTCACCTACTATTCACGTATGTCATATATGTTTTATTGGAAATTAATGTTTGTCTTGTTTCCTCTTGTACAGCTCTGCGGAATATGTTGCAGTATGTAAATAATTGTAATTGTCAGTGTATATCAATTTCATTAGCTCCGAAGGCAATTGCCTATAATAAACAGTACGTTCTCCTATTTAACCCCTCTGACAATCAGAGGAGAGAGAGAGAGAGAGAGTGAGTGAGTGTGAGTGTGTGTGTGTGTGTATGTAATAGTTGAAGATTTAATCACTAAAATAGCAATACAATATACATAATTTGGGTTCCAGTCTATGAAGGTTAAGAACCATTGCACTAAACTTCAAATTGTGAAAAATATTAAAGGGAATGGCCCCAACATTTTTTGGATCTGGTGAATATTTCTACTTTAGCCAGTTTATTGAATGCATTTGATAGATTTTGTACCCTGAGTGTATGCGATATTATGCAGTACTGTAATCTAGAGGGATTTTCACACTCTGTGTTATAATAATACTTTAAAGGATACGCTCAACATTCCAAAAGACTGGAGAGGTAAGTTTTGACGGTCTAATTTCCGCTCCGTCGCTGGTAGCAATGCTGGATATATCACATAGGCTTTGTATGGTGTCAATCCAACGGCTACATTGTGTTTGTACATTGCAACTTTATTTGTAAGACTGGCTAGCTTGAAATTGTTCCTATTCTAGAATTGTGAAGCGTAAAGTGTATAACTGTGCAATTGTTGCAGAATATGTTTTGTGGACCCAGGACATACTTGAAAACGAGAGAAATCTCAATGTATCTTTCCTGGTAAAATATTTTATAAATAAATAAATAAAAATGTTGGCACCATATAAATCTTAATATTAATAAAATTCATGTAAGATTTGTTGACAAGTTAATGGGAGATAAGAATTCTATACCCAGGCAAAGGACAGTGAAGCTCTATTACACGTAATTAACAACATGTTAAACACAAACACTCAAAATCCCACTAATACAATATACACAATCAGTGGCGTACACATGACCCATGGGGCCCCGGTGCGAAAATTGATCCATGGGCCCCCCCCCCCGCGCGGGCCGGGCCGCAACACATGGCGGTGAGCACCTGGTCGCAGGGGTTACAGGGCTGCGACCCCTGCGACCGCGGTATGTACGCCAGTGCATGCAGATGCACACACACTTAAAGGACCACTCTAGGCACCCAGACCACTCCAGCTTAATGAAGTGGTCTGGGTGCCAGGTCGAGCTAGGGTTAACCCATTTTTTCATAAACATAGCAGTTTCAGAGAAACTGCTGTGTTTATGAATGGGTTAAGCCTTCCCCTATTTCCTCTAGCGGCTGTCTCATTGACAGCCGCTAGAGGCGCTTGCGTGCTTCTCACTGTGATTTTCACAGTGAGAGCACGCCAGCGTCCATAGGAAAGCATTATGAATGCTTTCCTATGTGACCGGCTGAATGCGTGCACAGCTCTTGCCGCGCGTGCGCATACAGCCGACGGGGAGGAGAAGAGGAGGATGGGAGGAGGAGAGCTCTCCGCCCAGCGGTGGAAAAAGGTAAGTTTTACCCCTTTCCAGAGCCGGGCGGGAGGGGGTCCCTGAGGGTGGGGGCACCCTCAGGGCACTATAGTGCCAGGAAAACGAGTATGTTTTCCTGGCACTATAGTGGTCCTTTAAAGGACCACTACAGACACCCAGATCACATCAGCTCAATGAAGTTGTCTGGGTGTCAGGTCCCTCTAGTTTTAACCCTGCAGCTGAAAACATAGCAGTTTCAGAGAAACTGCTATGTTTCACTGAGGGTTAATCCAGCCTCTAGTGGCTGTCTCACGGACAGCCGCTAGAGGAGCACACTGAACGTCCATAGGAAAGCATTGAGCAATGCTTTCCTATGGGCGGTTTGAATGTGTGCGCGGTCGCATTCGGAGCTGAGAGGCTGAGGGATCCTCAGCGCCAAGGGAGTCCGGCGCTGGAGAAAGGTAAGTGCTGAAGACACACACACACACTTACAGACGCATACACACTAGCTAACAGACACACACATTTACTGACAGAGATACAGTCAGCGACAGACATACATACACACTCACTTACAAAACATACACTCTCATTGACAAACACACACTCACTAACAGACATCAAACAGACTCACTAACACACACACACTCAGTAAGACACACACAGTAACACACTCACTGACACTCACTAGCAGACACACACACTAACACACTAACACTCACATTAACACTCACTAGCAGACACACACTAACACTCAACAACACTCACTCTAACACTCACACACACTAACACTCACTCTAACACTCACACTAACACACACACAACTAACTCACACACTCTACACACACACTAACACTCACACATGATTTTTTTATTTTTTTATATAATCCCCCCAGCCTCCTTACCTTTTGGAGTGCTGGGGGGGATTATTCCCTGGGGTCCAGTGGGGCTCCTGGGCGGGTGGCCGGTCGGGCAGGCAGGCTGGCGCGCGAGGGAGCACTCAGTGCTTCCTCTTCAGCTCCCTCGCGCACCGCGTAGGGATGCCGGCGCCGGAAGATGACGTCATCTTCCGGCTCCGGTATCATTGCGGTGCGCGAGGGAGCTGAAGAGGAAGCACTGAGTGCTCCCTCGCGCCCGCCTGCCTGCCTGCCCGGCCGGCCATCCGAGATCAGCAGGGCCAGCCTCGGGGGGCCCTGGGGTGGTCGGCTCCTGGGCCCCCCAGGGGAAGAGGCTGGGCCTGGGCGTACATACCGGGTCGCAGGGGCGGCCGGGCCCCCTGGTGTGCCGGGCCTGGTCGCAGTCGCGACCCCTGCGACCCTGGTATGTACGCCAGTGTACACAATAAAAAACAAAAAAACAAAGTTACGTACACACTATCTCAAATCCCTATGCACATTTAAATAACAGGAGATTTTTTTTGTATCACTCCAATGGCCATTAAAGTGTAAGCTCACCTGCCATGTCAAGGCTATACCTCTTATGCTTCCAGCTTAAAGAAGCAGGGGGAATTGTAGGTGTAGGATTCAGCCGTTACACTTTAATGGCCATTGGAGTGATACTAAAAATCTCCTGTTATTTGGATGTGCATCGGGATTTGGGTTAGTACGCAAGTAACTTTTTTTGTATTTTTCACATGTTAAATGTTTCATTATGTCAGTTTCACTTTTACCTAATAACCTACCAAACATCGCTGCAGCAGACCAAACACAAAGTTGGCCTACTTAACAGCCATTTTTCATACAGTATTAGACAGTGAAGAAGGCACTCTAGTTCCCACAGCTAAACAATGCCATGTATTACAGGGGCAGCACTGGATGTGAGCTCTAGCAGGGTTACATAGTTATTTACACAAATGAGAATTGAGTGAAAAAAAATGAATTCAAAGTTTGTCTTTTTTGGGGATAAAACTTTAAATTCACTTTGAATTAATGTAACTTTTTCAACAGTTCTCACTTTACTCACTAAACTGAGAATTGAAGGGGTCTTTGAGGCATACGACTGGCCATGGGGGTTTATTCACTAAACATTGAATTGTTGAGAATTTAAAAGTGACTTGCTCACCTTTTCAACTCGTATAGATGGAAATCTCCCACTTTGGCTAATTCGGCCTCAAAATAGCACTTCCCTTGTTAGTTATTATTATTATTATTATTATATTTATAGAGCACCGAGGGCCCTGCTCAATGAGCTTACATGCTAGAGGGAGTGGGGTAAAATGACACAAAAAGGTAAGGATAGTATTAGACCAGTGACAGTTGCAGAAGAGGAATCAGTCAGGAGCTATTATGAAGAAGTGGGATTTTAGCGATTTTTTGAAGGAGTGAAGACTGGGTGAGCATCTAATGGAGGAGGGAAGCGAGTTCCACAGGAACGGTGCAGCACTCGAGAAATCTTGAAGTCGAGCATCAGAGGTGGGAGTACGGACAGACGATAGACTTAAGTCTTCAGCAGATCGTAAGGGCCTAGAAGGGACATACTTGTGTATAAGGGAGGATAGATGGGTGGGAGCAGCATTATGTAGAGATTTGAAAGCAAGAACCAGAATTTTAAATTGAGCCCTATATTTTATAGGAAGCCAATGTAGGGACTGACAGAAGGGTGAGGCATGGGAGGTGCGAGCGAACAGGAAGATGAGTCTCCCTGTTTTGTGGACAATTGTCAGTTTGTCAATGCACTCATGCCACCAGTGTTACCAAGGGCATGGTAAAATCTCGTGATGGATATTGCTTACTACTACTTCAGTTTTAGTCTATGTTTTTTATTATACTAAGCCTTTGTTAATACAGGTTGAATTTGCCACTAAACTGTATTTTTGTCTTGTAAACACACGTACCTCCATTTGTATGTGAATCCAATCCAAAAACGAGCTGATCCGAGTGTAAACCCCTGGTTTATATCTCATTGCACAGCCAATACCCCAGCTGGTGGTCCCCATTAGTTTCCACACATTCCGGTCTTCACATGCTAGAGGTCCCCCACTGTCCCCCTATTGAGACAATAAGAATATTTTTTATACATTACATTTAGAAACGGGCAGCAGTGACATTTCTGATGTCATCAAGTGTCAAATATAAGTCTTGGGTGGTTTGAATGATGTGATTTAATATACAGATGGAGCAGGGTGATCGTTAGAAACTTAACAATGTCCACAGAAACTGTCCTCTAAATTTCATTAAAGGTAATCTTGATGAAGGCATAGGAGGATGTGCCAAATTCTATCTATAAGGGGGAATTGAGGGTCACACCCAAAAAATGCATTTCTTAGCAGTTGTGCTGCCAATTCTATCTATGGCATTGGTGGCAAATTACCAATTCTGTCTGACTGGCTGGCTAAGACAAGTAAGGTATTAAAATGCATAAAAAGGGACATTCAATTATGTTGCAAAATATACATTTGCCTTGTTATATAAATCAATTGTACAATCCCACCTTGCATATGCAGTGTAATTTTGTTTTATAGAAGTATTTTATGGAAATAAATAGAGCGTCAGGGGCAGCCTACAAAATTAATAAGGGGAATGGAAAATGTAATACATGAAAAATGGATAGGAAACGTGAACTTGTTTACTTTAGAAAAAAGACAGCTCCGAGGGATATTATAACATTATACAAACATAAATAAATAGTCAGTACAAACAGTCCTCTCTTAACCTGTTCCTAACTAGAACTGTACAAAGGTCAAAAGGTTAGCCATTTAGACTAGCCTACAAGTCTAACCAGGTAAGGGTTCTTTACTGTAAGAACAGCAAATTTGTGGGTGTCTCTGCCTTAAGAAGTTGTTTTAATAGATTTGGTACGGATTTTCAAATGTTGTATTTTTTTGGGAAAAAAACTGAATATTCAAAGATTTAATAGTTAATATGTGGGATGAAAACCTCTTAATACAAGGAGTGACCCCCCTCACTCCTAATTTGTGGAAAATTACTTCACACTGGGGTTTTCAGCCTCGTTTTTGGATCAACAGCAGTAATATCAATTTGAGGTTGAATTTAATGGTTTTGAGTCTTTTTGTTTTGCCTGTTTCACAACTGCAAAACTACCAGTGCTATGTTTTCTGTTGTGTGTTCAGTTGTAGGATTTATTTTCCCCTACTAGGCCATCTATGAACTTAAATATTTTATTTGTGTATTGCAAAATAACCCTATGATCAATTTCTTAGCTTTCTTCAATGTGTTTGGAAAAAAAGTGTTTACACTGATCAGCCACAACATTAAAACCACCTGCCTGATATCATGTAAGTCCTCCCTCATGCTGCCAAGACAGATCTTATGCATCAAGAATGTGTCCTATGGTGTCCTGCACCAAGATATTAGTATCAGATTTTTTTTAAAGTCCATTTTTGATCCGTGGATCAAATTTGTTGTTCCAGCACATCTCACAGACTGATATCTGGGGAACTCTTTATGTTCCTCAAACCATTTCTGAACATTTTTTTGCTTTGTGGAAGGTTGCATTATCCTGCTGAAAGAGGACGCTGTCAAAGTAACGTCCACCTGAATGTCAGGACCCAAAGTTTCCCCGCAGAACATTGCCTAGAGTATAGCACTGCCTGACTTATTTCCAAAGTGCATCCTGCTTTGATCTCTTCCACAGGTAAACGATGCACATGCAGCCGGCCATCCACCTGATCTAAAAGAAAACATGATTCATCAGACCAAGCAACCCTCTTCCATTGCTCCATGTGTAGCAGAGCAATAGTCCTGACCAGGACTCTCCCTCTGCTATGATCAGGAATTCAGAAACGCAGGAACAAGAAATAGCCAAGTGAAAAGCCCACCTCCTCACCATCAACTGGATGACACATAGTTCTGGGAGTACAACTCATTTTATTTTGGCCACACATGGCTTTTATGCACTGACCCCTAGCATGGGGTCTCCACACCAAACATTCAAGGGTTTTCCTCCCAGGTTCCTCTGTTTCTGAGAGATAAATGTGTGAGAAAACTATAAATTAATTATCTCTTAGATACAGGAAACATACAATATTTATCATAAAAATTCATTTAAAAAACATAGGAACCCCCTTGAAAGTCATCACCGAATAGCTGGGATCTGAGCATTCACTTTGTCAAAATAGCGCTCAGATCCCTTTGGTGGTTTGGAAACGCCATTTGAATAAAGTTTTGACCGGTTGGCCAAGAGGTGATGCCCCAAAATAGTTTAATGGAAAACAATACAATGACCGGTCATCTTTCAGGGGTTCTCACAAGAACACAGATGAATGCACCCCCTGGCTGTTAGGGAGCAAATGCTCCCCCTGTTCGGTAGATCCTATCTTTCATTTGCCTAGTTGGTTGGGAAGTGGGCAAGCAGAGTTACCATCTTTGCCCGGGTTTGCAGAGATGCGAGGCCAAAAATAGTTTCAGGCATTCGACCACCAGGTACCGCTGCCTGCGTTTGGGAGACAAAATGGCCACACAGGGAAAGCACTCAAGTTAATCACCAAATTGTGGTTAACAGCCAGAGGAGGTTGGCATTCGAAGGGCTATAAAAGGGGGCACCACACACCAACCATTTGGGGGACGAACAAGGGGATATGGACCACCTAACACCAGGTAATGGAGTTTGTTACAGCATGGTCTAGTTCTGATGCTCACATCAACATTAAAAACACTTTTGATGGTAAACAGGGGATCATCAAGGGATGCTGACCAGTCTGTGGCTACACAGCACACTGTGATGTACTGTGTGTTCTGACACCTTTCTATCATGACCAGCATTAAGTTTATCAGCAATTTGAGCTACATTAGTTCTTCTGTGTGATTAGACCAAACAGGCTAGCCTTCGCTCCTCACATGCATCAATGAGCCTCGGGTGCCCATGACCCAGATGCTGTTTCACAGTTTGTCTTTCCTTGCACCACTTTTAGTAGGTAGTAACCACAGCAGAGAGGAAACACCACACAAGACTTGCCATTTTTGTTGATGCTCTGACCCTATTTAGCCAAAGTCACTCAGATATTTTTGCTTTCCCATTTTTACTACTTCCAGCACATGCAATTCAAGAACTAACTGTTCACGTGCTGTCTGGTATATCCCACCGCTGTGACATGTGCCACTGTAACAATATAATCAATGTTATTCACTTCACCTGTCAGTGGTTTTAATGTTGTGGCTGGTCAGTGTTGTGTTCATATATCAGGAAATACAAAAATATTTGAGTCTATATTTAGACATAGCGCACCTTTTTTTTCTTTTCTTTTTTTAAAATATATGATGGCGGAAACAATTCCCCTACAGACACTGATTGGCTGCTTTGGCCTGGATTATGCAGTTTGGTTTCAATTCGCTACCATTTGATGTATAGTGAATAGACCCTGTGTCTCCGAGACTAAATAGCATATTCTCATCACTGCAGGCACGGTTAGAATTTAATTCTCAGCATGCACAATCAGGGGGACATGTACGAGAACTAGTATCTGTATGTCCCAAGACTTGCAGGGTTATTCTAGTAAGTATTGCCAGGAATTCAGTGAATTCAAATTGAATCTCTAAATTTAGACCAAAATAGCCATATTGGGAAAATTATATTTTCAGCTTGGCTACTTTGGCCTTAAACTAAAATTCCCTTTGAATTCACTTTGAATTCTCTATTTAGTAAATAACCCTGTTAGAAAGCATTTCAACAGTTAATTAAAGGTAAAGTACTGAATATAAACAGAAAAATAATGTGTCAGTAAATCACACTGAAAAGGTTATATATCACAATGCAGTGCAGTTACAGAGGTATATGCAAGGGAATACTGGCACAAGAACAGTTAACTTTTTTATAATGATTCACATTAAGGGCACCAAGCCCTATTATTTTATTAGTATTTGATCAACGGGAAGGGTTTAGTTATTATTCAATGGGTGACTTTATTTCAGCCCATGATTACTTAGGATGCAATTAATATTTAATTTACTCTTGATTTCCTACCTGACAGGTGTCTACCCCTCCTTCTAGAAAGCCTGCACACACCATGGATGGCATTATAACACCCCCATAGATATATTTTGTGTTGCACACGCGATTAGAAATGAGTGGAACGCCAGCATAATCCATTGTTTCAGATGTGTCACCTGGAATAAAAGCAAGCAGAAGATCGGATCACAGGACAATTGTTTAAACTGGTTTCTTTTCTTTAAATTTAAACTTGGTTTTTAATAACATTTATCATGGCACTTATTAACTAAATATGGAATTGTGGTGATTAAAGGGTACTTTTATAAATTAACCTTGTTACACCCCCTTGGCTTTCAAGCAGACAACAGGTTATGTTACTTCCTGGTTTGGTTAGTTCAGAGGAGCTAAACTCAGCTATTGCCCAGAGCTCCTGCCTTGCAATTACTTCTCATTGAGCGGCATTGAGAAGTCTGTGATTGGACAGCCATGGAACGTCTGGGCGGGGTTAGAACGTGAGGGCTTGCAAAGCCTGCAGACAAGAGATCTGCAACTACTGCAAGCTTTTTGTTAGATAAACCCACAATGAAAACATGCATAATTATATGCATATATGTTTTCATTGGGAGTCTATCTACTAAACAGTGTTTTTTTCTTTATTTGGAAAATGGAGTGTTCCTTTAAAGAAAGGACTGAAAAAAAAAAGATCACAATAACTAATTTGGTAGACTCCAATTCTTATTATAAAACAAATATTGAAGTTTGGCTATTTCACAAAAAGAGTTGTAGTACAATTTAAATAAAATTTTTTTAAAAAATACAAAAATTTAGGCAAAAAATATGATGCACAAGAAAAACAAGTACAAAGGTGCTAGATCAAAATCAAAAAATTATAGTGAAAAAATCTTATTTAAAAAAGCAGCTCCTTTTAAAGTGCAATAGCTCAAACCACACTAAAATACAATACAAAAAAAGAAAAAAAGTGCGCTGTGTCTTTAAATATAGACTCAAGCGATACAGCTATATGCATTGAAAATTGAACCTAAGTGGTTTTGTATCACTATAACAGTAAAACACCATAGCAATTTTTGTATTTGCATTTGCACTTTCTTTTGTTGGATTGCACATAATTGCTATTTTGCACAAAATTGGTTAATTGAGATTATATTCCACACCCATGCAATAATTCATTGGCACTTAAATATTTGAGTCTATAAAGACACAGCGCACCATTTAAAAAAAAAAAAAATTTTTTTAAATATATGATGAAGGAAACAATTCCCCTACAGACACTGATTGGCTGCTTTGGCCTGGATTATGCAGTTTGGTTTCAATTCGCTACTATTTGATGTATAGTGAATAGACCCTGTGTCTCCGAGACTAAATAGCATATTCCCATCACTGCAGGCACGGTTAGAATTTAATTCTCAGCATGCACAATCAGGGGGACATTTACGAGAACTAGTATCTGTATGTCCCAAGACTTGCAGGGTTATTCTAGTAAGTATTGCCAGGAATTCAGTGAATTCAAATTGAATCTCTAAATTTAGACGAAAATAGCCATATTGGGAAAATTATATTTTCAGCTCGGCTACTTTGGCCTTAAACTAAAATTCCCTTTGAATTCACTTTGAATTCTCTCTTTAGTAAATAACCCTGTTAGAAAGCATTTCAACAGTTAATTAAAAAGTAAAGTACTGAATATAAACAGAAAAATAATGTGTCAGTAAATCACACTCACGGGGTTATTTACTACAGTGAGAATTCCAAGTGAATTCCAGGTGAATTTTAAATATAAGGTTAAAGTAGCTGAACTGAAATCATAGTTGACTTTTCAATTTGGCCTTAAAGGGACATTATAGGCACCAAAACAACTTTAGCTTAATGAAGCAGTTTTGGTGTATAGATCATGCCCCTGCAGTCTCACTGCTCAATTATCTGCCATTTAGGAGTTAAATCACTTTGTTTATGCTGCCCTAGACACACCTCCTAAACTCTTCCTGTAAAGAGTAATCTAATGTTTACACTTCATTTAGTGCACATTCTGTTTAATTTAGAATGTTAAATCTCTTGCTCTGTTAATAGTTTTCTAGACCCCACAGGAGCCTCGTGTGTGATTAAAATTCAATTTACAGAGCAGGAGATAAAAACAAGCATCTAAATGAAAATGAAACCATTTTTTGTTTTCACGCAGGCTGTGTCAGTCACTGCCAGAGGAGGTGTGGTTAGTGCAGCATAAACAAAAACAAAAGTAATTTAATTCCTAAATGGCCGAGAATTAAGCAGTGTGACTTCAGAGGCATGGTCATAGGTTCAAGGCGCCCTTAATATTTATATATTTTTCCAAGGTGCCCCAAGTTGAAATGTTTAGGTCGTATAGCGCTGCAGCATTTACTGGCGCTATAGTGTAATTTATAGTGTTGGTGTTGGAAGAGGTGTTTGTATATAGTTTTAGTGTTTTAATACAGGGGTGTGTTTATATGTAATATTTGTGTTAGATTGCAGGAATGTGTTTGTATGTTGTGCTGGTGTTTGACTGCTTGAAAGTATGCACATACACTACTACATACATACATACATACCTACACAGATATCAATGCACTTTAACACACACTTGCATATATACACACGACACATACACTCAGTACACATAGATACAAACACATACACACACATAGATACACACCTACAGATACACACACTGACACATACACACACCTTAACACACACGTACACCAATATACACACACAAACACTCTGACACACAGACACATGCAGCCTGACACACACAAACACTGACACATGCACACATCATGACACAGATACACACCCTGACACACAGATATGTGCGCACACACAGACACACACAAACACACTGACATAGATAAACACACACAGATGCACACCCTGACACACACACTTACATACACCCTGACACACACACACACGTGATTTTTTTTATATCTCCTTATGTGTCCAGGAGGGTGGCTTGGAGTCCTGGTTCTGCTGTCACTTCCTCCCAGCCGGCCTACATTACAGGGGCCCGGATGCGGTCTTAAAGGACCACGGCACCTGACCGGGTCCCTGTTCAGCAGAAGTGTTTCCCTGTGGTATAATCATACAGTTTGGGAACCGCTGGTCTATACACTAAAACTGCTTCATTAAAGGACCACTATCGTGCCAGAAAAAACAAACTCGTTTTCCTGACACTATAGTGTTAATAGGTCCCCCCCACCCTCAGGGTCCCACTCCCACCAGGCTGAAGGTGGAGAAAGGGGTTAAACTTCCCTCGGCGCTGAGGAACTCCCTCCTCCGACATCAGCCATCTCGCCAGTATTTGGTGCACAGAGACATCGTGCAGTGGTTTTGGACTATACAGCAGGGGACACATTATACAGTGATTGTTTTTCATTTAGCCTGTATATGTTCTGCAGAATCTGCATTAAACTGTATCTTCCAAAGAACTGAACGGATCTGGGTGAATTTTGGATATGTGGTACTTTTAAGGGGTTATTGCATGTTTTGGGGTCCATGTGATGTGTTTTATGAAACTGTATTTCTCTGTCTGTGATAATTAGATTACCCATTGTGTAAGATAATTGTATCACAGGCAGAGGGGAGGATTTTGTGTGGGAGTGTCTGTGTGTATTGTACAGATTGATTGGTTGTTCTGTAAAACCCTGTGGGCAGTACTAAGTTTGTGGATTGGGAATAAAAGAGGCTGTATGTGCCGGTGCGGTCAGATTCTGCTTAACCCTCAAACGAAGTGTCGTCTCGTTATTGGGGGAATTGGATTGTATGCTGACTGCCAGGAGTGTAAACCTTTCGTATGGTTTTCCCTGTTCAGCTGTTTCCAGTATTCGTGAGTTTCCTGTTCAGGAGTTGGAGAATTCGTGTAGTTTGCAGTTCGGGAGATTGGTGCTTGCAGTAGCTGTCTGTGCATCTGAAAGGGGAATATCGCCTAAACGGTTTTTAACCTCTTGTGTGCAAAACGGTCCGTTACACCATCCAATCAGAGTGCTTGGACAGGTAAATGAAGAGACTAACAGGTAAGTCTCTACATTCTGATTGGTTAGCTTGAAATCCAACCAATCAGAGTGCTCTGTGTCATTTTACACAGCGTGGAATTTTCCCACGCTGTGTAATTTGACTCATAACACTCTGATTGGTTGATTTTATGTAACCAATCAGAGAGTTACGAGCCACAGGCTGCTCACTGTTTACTAGACATGCCCCTACTCGCGGCATAGTGAGTAGGGCCAGAATTTACTAATACTAAGTAATCTTTACTTAGTATTAGTAAATTTGGCTGAAAGACCAATTTACGTCTTTCAGCCTTTTGGTAGATAGCTCCCTAATACCGTGGGAATTAGGGAGTTATCTATCTACTTATTCATTCCCATCCATTGACTGGCTAAGTAATTTACATTTTATATGAATGTGTGTTACTTGATTGTTGTAAGTGTTGCAAATGCTTACAGCTGAATCCTTGCTATGTTTGTATACATCTTTTTATTTAAACTGGTATACAGTGTAACATTCTTAATTCTTCCACTGGGTAGGTATATTAGTACTTTGGCAATTCTGTGCTTCGGAACTTCGGCACTTCAACACTTCTGAACTTCTGAACTTCGGCACTTCAGAAGCATCCGAATGTCCTAATTGCCCAAAATTCGTCTTAATTGACATTCGGAACAAAACGAATTGCACATGTCTAATAAATAACTGCATAATTCCATCATCATAATATGATCTTTAAAGGACCACTATAGTGCCAGGAAAACATACTCGTTTTCCTGGCACTATAGTGCCCTGAGGGTGCCCCCACCCTCAGGGTCCCCCTCCCGCCCGGCTCTGGAAGGGGGAAAGGGGGAAAACGTACCTTTTTCCAGTGCCAGGCGGGGAGCTCTCCTCCTCCGATCCTCCTCCGTTCCTCCCCGTCAGCTCAATGCGCACGCACAGCAAGAGCTGCGCGCGCATTCAGCCGGTCGCATAGGAAAATCACAGTGAGAAGCACGCAAGCGCCTCTAGCGGCTGTCAATGAGACAGCCGCTAGAGGCTTTGGGGGAAGGCTAAACCCATTCATAAACATAGCAGTTTCTCTGAAACTGCTATGTTTATAAAAGAATGGGTTAATCCTAGCTGGACCTGGCACCCAGACCACTTCATTAAGCTGAAGTGGTCTGGTTGCCTAGAGTGGTCCTTTAAAGATACTCTTTCAAACTGTAATCTCCCACTAGTTTATCATTTGTACACCAGGAGAACATACCACGCCAGCTCATAATCTTTAACGACCAGATGGTTCTTAAAGAATTATTGTAGTATGTGTTTATACCAAAGGTTTTTTATCAACGTGCTGTAGAACAGTGATTTGATACATGCCACCAAAAACGATGTATTTAGGCCCGAACTGCAATTCAGCTGTATTTTGGCAACCAGGGTGTCCAGACAAATTCACAAATTTTGGGCCAAAATATACAGCTAACTAAAATGTGATATACAGAATACGTTTGAGGAGGGGTGTCAATATTCTTAATTCCAAAATAATAGATGATTGATAGGTAAAAAGATGACTAGATGTCACTAAAATTTAGATTTTATTCTCAGGTCAAGTGAGAAGTTAGCAATTAGGGGAAAAACTAAAGATGCAGTAAAAAAAAAAAAAAAAACTATACTGATATATTATATATTTAATAAATATGTAATACAATTTACATCTGCCCAGTGCCGTCACGGCCATAGAGTATCATTGCATATGGAGGAATCGTAGGCGCATTGCGGGGAGTGACGTGCATGCGCCTACTTTCCCCAATGCTCCTCTAAGAGAGCACTGGATTGGCCCGTCATGCGAGAGTCACGCCTCAAGGATTAATCAACCGAAGGAGGTGGCCACGGCAGCACCGAGGGAAATTCAGCGCTGGTGAAAAGATGAGTAATTTGTTTATTTTTCATTTTATTTCATTGTATGTTTTCCTTGTACATGCGGGGACCCACTTGATAAAATGTAACCAGGCTGTAGCGTTAGGAATACAGATACTTGATAAAGAAATTACACACTTTCAGTTACGTCACATACTGTTTACATCAAGGCACACCTATTGACCTCACTCAATCTTGATCTGATCTATAGCACGGAATCTAGAATTATTTGTTTTTAAATGTAAGAATAACTGAAAGTAAAGGGACCAAATATTGGTTTAGCAACGTAAAATGTATACATGACTGTTGGGAAGTTTTTTAAAGAACAACCATCTGGAAAAACCGCAGAATACGTGCCTATTAAAGTTTGAAGGTAACCTAGGTTAACCTAATATGCATGCTGTATATCCCAGCAAAGATCCATCTTAATCCATTCTAAGCAATAAGCATTTCATGTTTATAAACTGGTTATGGTGCAAAGACCCTATCACTATAGCCTTATTGTTTATAGAAATAAATACTTTCTGAGGGGCTGACTCCCTGGGCTGTCAATCAGCCTGTTGGAATAGTCTCTTCCTGGCTGACATTGTTAGTTTTGTGCAACTTTTGTATCTGGTGTCAGTACACACATCATACACAGCATGCTAACCTCAGATTACTGGAATTGGCTGCCCATGGCTGCCCAACTCTCAGGCAGTTTAACTCTCTAATTCCCTGAGAAATACAAAAACATAAATAAGTTCTGTTTTTTTGATCTTTGTAGGTGTAAGAGAAAAAAAAACAAAGAAATTAATGTACCATCAAATGAAGTGCAAGAAGTTGCCTGCTGGGCAAAAATAGACACACAGGCCAGTTCTGCAGCCAATAAAATGTAAATTTTTAGGGCCTGGGAAATACGTGTGCAACTTTGACTAACAAATGAATCTGATGCATTAAAAATATGCACGTTTGCGTGTAGAGTTTCCTTTAAAAGGACATTGTAAACACTCTATGTGCTTCATCTCATTAAAGTGGTTATAATTTACAAAATATACAAATAGGTTGCTGTGTAGAGTGTGCTTATGAATAAAGTTAAGTTTAGAAAGCAGCTACACACTCTAGTGGGTGCTCTCTTATCCCCACCAAATACGATATAAAACCAGAGTGAATCTAGTGTAGTCTAGATATAATATCCAGGCTATGCTGTTCAAATTAGTGGAGCGCTATAAATATACACTTACCCTAAAATAGGGTTAAGGGCTCAGCTGTGTATGGATACATATACAGGAAACAAGAAAATAAAACACAATATAGTGTAAATCCGCAGATGATAATATATTGGAGTGAAATTTTAAATGGTTAAATTCACATGGATTAGAGCCTCAGAAAGACAGGCTAGAATCATATGCACGTTAGTGCCTTGTGGGGGCACTGGACCCTTTTGTCCGGATTGGTTTCCTCAGGAAAAGAAACAAAAAGGGAGACTTCCTAGTGTATTACGTTTTGACAATAAAGTAATGATTTTGAGATATGCCACTTAATTTAATCAACGGGTCACTTCCGGTTCTCCATCACGTCACTTCCTTAAGGGGATCAAGGTCTGAATGATTTTATGTGAATGTGATGCATACTTTTCAAGTTATGAATAATGTGGAAAAACTGTATTTCTCTGGCTGTGATAATTACATTACCCATTGTGTAAGGTAATTGTATCACAGGCAGAGGGGAGGATTTTTTTGTGGGAGTGTCTGAGTGTATTGTACATGTTTATTGGTTGTTTTCCAAAACCTTGTGGGTGGTACTAATGTGTATATAAGAACAATAAACCCACAGCTCTGTCTGTTCTTGCTTGACCCTCAAAACTGAGCCTTGTCTCGTTCTTGGGGGGATTTATTGTATGCTGTTCCAGTTTGACTGCTAGGAGTGTAAACCTATTCATATGGTTTTTCCTATTCGGCTGTTTATGCTTCTCCGGTTCGGTGGATTGGTGTCTACAGTAGCTGTGCCTGTGTCTCTGGAAGGGGAAGATCTTCTAAACGGCGGTTTAACCCTTTTATGCCTGGGGGTGCCTTTACAATTATTATATGTATGATGTCTTCAATAAAGCTGTGGGCATATTCACCCATACCTCTGAGTGTCTGAGTTTTAATGGTAACAGGGGTCGGGTTGGGGTTTTGGGGAATCTCCACCTGCCCATATGGCGACTATGCACCGGTCAAGAGAGAGGAGATATAACAGTAACTTGTATTCTGTGGGAAAATAATCAAGTTTTTCTGAGATATACAGAATAAAGAACAGTACAGGCACTCTGGGTTAGCAGAAATCACAGCTTTATTGGGGCAAAAGCAGCAACGTTTTGACCCTATCGGGTCTTTATTAAGCTTGAGAAAGACCTGGTAGGGTCAAAACTTTACTGCTTCTGCCCCAATAAAGCTGCTATTTTTGTTAACCCAGAGTGCCTGAACAGTTCTTTATTCTGCATATCTTGGAAGGGGGGCCTGGCCAGCCCTGGCTTCAGAGCACCTGGGTTATTTGGTGAGTGTGGTATCTAGTACGTCTCTACTATCAAGTTATTCTGGACATCATAATACCCCGCAAGAAAAACAATGGAGTGTTTAATGATGTCTCTAGCAGTCATTTAATGCATTATATTCCCATAATATGCACTTCCCCATTATGTATCTTCTCTTTCTGACTTCAAAAATGGGAAAAAGCTGGTCAATCACAGAGCTTCTCTCATCTAGAATCTACACTAAATCTGCCCTTATGATTAAAACTTTAATAAAACCACCTATTTTGTTGCATCTGCCTGCCCCCAATCTTATGTGGTTCAAGACATTGAGTATTTATGAAATAGCTCATTTAACTAAACAGTAGATTTGTGCACAGTGAGACGACATACCAAAGACGACATACCAGAGATTGACTTGAGGCCTACCAGCGGCCTACTCAGACGGCACGGGGGAAGCGGCATACACTCTCTCCCCTCCCCCCCCCCACTGGAGAGGGATGTCCCAACACACGGCTCACGCCTCAGGTGAACGGCAACACTCTTGACTCACCTACACTGCCGGTCCAGCGCTACACAACATGGCGGACGCCACATGCCAGCCAGAACACAGTTCCTCATTGCCACCACTCTCGGAACGGCTGGACCGCCTGCTAGCTGACTTCTGGGCAAAGCTTTCGGCACGCGGGAGTGCTCCAACAGCGACACCATCGGCAACATCCCCACGGGTCACCAAGCCACAACCCGCGGCTCCAGGAGGGGGCCACACTACAACCTGGAAGGCTGGAAGGAGAAGGCAGGAGACTCGACATAAGCCTCAGCGAGCCAGCAACAGACCACCAGCGGTGAGTTGCCTAACTAAAAGGCTACAAACCCCAGGTCTGCCCGCTCAAACCCCCTCCTTCCCTCACGGTGATCACCAACCCTCCTGGGCGAAGACACCATGACGGAGGCCCTCAAATTCCCAGACACAACCCAGCCCAGTGCCTCTACTTAAAAGTGATGGGGAGCGAGGGGGGATCTCTGACACCTCACCAATTTGCTCCGACAGGGGATTCCAGCTACCGCCAGCTTCACAACCCTCGCCAGAGACAACAAGCCCAAGACAGGCTCAACACAAGTCTGGGGACTTTTGCCACCACACCCTTCCCTTCCGGCTGGGAACTGGAAAAGCACGGAATGGGGGGACCCCCAAGGTCTACTACTCCGGGCACCAAACCTACAGCTGATGGGGATCAGTTAAACCGCTCCACCTGGACTTGGCGTCACTTAATATGGATGCAGCATACTATGCTCAACACGATGTGTGCATTTCATTTATGCCTGCACCGGGGCTAACCATCTTGCTAGCAAGCAACAGATTTTGAATATATTGAATAATCACTAGCACTAGCTTAACAATAACCATGCAGAAGTCTAGAAGCAACTGTCGGTTTTCGGTGATCCTTCAATATTGATAGTTATGGCTCGCTTCAGGTATGATGTGGACCTTTACGGACAAAAGGTCACTCCGGGTCATTCTAAGCTTAGTGTGTCTTTATGCAATCTATAGCTGTATACGGAGCAGACCCTTCCGTTCCCAAATTACTTATAAATACTGTTTTCCTTAACCATTCTAGATGATAACTTGACTATCACTAAAATAATCCAGTGTCTGAAGACCCAAAAGGCACTGTAATAATATTGTAATAAATGAAACAATGACTCAAATAAATATAAGATAAAAGTGTATTGAATGAATGTTACAGAATGCAAAAATAGTCAGTAAATAATTAATCTTACCAAATGTATTAGTGGCTACAGCATATGTCCCTGTATACCTTTCAGATGTGTGATGACAGCAGGCAGAGTAAGAGTAGATGAATGAATGAATGAATGAAAGAAAGAATGAATGACGAATGACAATGTCACACTCTTTCTCCTTCAGTTAAATAGCCATTTTGTCCTCCATAAAGCAGCCCCCACCTGTGTAATACTCCCCAAAAGGTTTTCTAACTTGTTGCATGATGTAATGTATTGAATATCTAAGTTTGGGATATACCCTAGATGGCTCTGCCTATAGTTAGCTTCAAAATTAAGTGAAGTGTTTTGTATACATTTGACTGACAACACATGTGTTTGTTCTAATTTAACTTCAACCTTTTAGCTGTTAACCTTGTGGAAATGTCATTGAAAATTTAACTTTTTCAAATCTAAGCAAAAAGGCCTGCAATATTTCATACACCTATTTATACAGCTAAATGTACATTCATATTAGATATATATATGCACCATACCATATAATACATATATATATTGCAAACTACACATTAAATAATGATCAACACTCCACAGCAACTACCATTACACCTATCACTAGCATATTCTGCAATAGCAACACCTTACTCTCTAGCGCTAAACATATGTTACTCTGCTTCTCTAATATTATTTAACCTTAATGTCAGTATACATTACGGTCTCTTATGTTTTATGTTGCCTGTTTTACTGACATAGCTACTGCTTAACCAAGAATCAAGCATGAAAACTATAAGCCTGTTTATAAAAAGCTTCATTAAACGACATTAAAAATAAAAAAGAGGCACACATGATTCAGAAATGTTAACTAACAATGTTATTGAATGGTATATTGTAAACTGATCGCACATTTCCCTTTCTCTCTTCTGTACCCCATCTCGTATGCCTCAATAAAAGAAAGATTGCCAAAAACAAAAATCAACATTTAGCGACTGTCCCTTAATAATAAATCATCTTTTTTCCCATCAATTATCTCTTTTTTTTGTTGCCTCAGGTGGAACCCAGAATCATGAACCGCAACAGACATGGTCGCCCACTGCGCAATTTTGTTCACAATTCGCGTTAAATACAGCTTGGAGTTCATGAATATAACCGGTTAACCCTCATTTGGCCCGAATTCAGACGCAATGCGGTTTGTACTGAAACAAATCTCCAAATCTACTAAACTGTGAGTTACCCACATCTGGAAACCACTTATGCTATTAACATTAAAGTCAGTAAGACCCCTCACTGCTTTGTGCATGAGCCCCTGGATGTATGTTGCTTGCCAGCATTGTACCAGAACATATATTTTTTGTTTTTACATAAAACTATTGTAATCATCATGCACAAAATGGGTTCTAATCTGTATTCTTCGCTTTCCCCAGGGAGAAAAGTCTTTTGTTGATGAAATAATCTCCTAGCCATGGCGGAGAGATAGAGCTCAACATGCAAACGCAGCTCAGAGTTTTCTCTTTTGAAAAGCGAAACCTTTTTGCCTGGCTCGGTAACATTACCACCTGCTGCGATCCCATATCTGCTTTGAATCAGTAATAACACAGATGTTTCCATGGCAACTGGTTGTGACACGATGAATTCAGTTGCAGGTCAGAATTATGCAGAAGAGGAAAAAAAAAAAGCCAACTCTTAATCCCTAATTTAAATAACTCCTAGAGACGTAGCCTGCACAGCGTTTCTATTATAATTAACAATCTGAGAAAGAACAGCGAGAAGAATAATGCAGAAAATTGCAGGTACAGCTGCTCGCAATACAAACCTCACAATACAAACCTTTTAGCACATAGGCTTTCAAATAGATTTCCTCTCTCCAATTGCAAGTTGAATTACATATTATTACAAAAGTTTTAAAAATGCAAAGAGAAATTGTCACCGTTCAGACTTCTACACACTCCAAACATACTTATTTGTAGTTCTTTATGCACAAGAAAATTTTGGTTGAAGTTTTTTAGTTTTTTTTTATGATTATTTTGTTTTTCATCATATGCTCTTTTGGCTGCCAGTATCATTTCTATGCACATAACATGCAAATCTATCTCTCCTGATCTCTCGCCGTCCATCTTGATTCGTGTCTTACTACCTCTCTGCTATTTCAAACTGGATGGCTGCTCGTTTTCTTAGACTTGAACTATCCAAAACAGAGCTTCTCGTCTTTTCTCCCTCATACCCTTGTGTCTGTCTCCTTCAACTCAACGGAACTACAATCAGTCCTGCCTTGCAGGCTCGCTGTCTAGGTGTTCTATTTGACTCCAACCTCTTCGTCACCCCTCATGTCCAGTCAATTGCCAAATCTTGCAACAAGTCCATATCGCTGCCATCTCTCGTCTTGATTACTGCAATCCACTTCTCAACGGTCTTACGTGTTCCCAGCTTCCCCAGTTACAGTCTATAATGAATGCGGTGAGGCTCGTTTTCCTGTCTGTCTGCACCTCTCACGCCTTCCCCCTCTGTCAGTCTTTACATTGGCTTGCCATAAGATTTAGTGCTCAATTTAAAATGCAGGTGCTTGCTTACAAATATCTACATAAAGCTGCTCCTACCTATATTCACTGATGCACATGTGTGTCCCATCCAGGCCCCTACGCTCTTCCGAAGATCTGTGTCTGTTCCCAGTTCGTACTCGCATCTCTGATACCCGCCTCCAAGACTTCTCTAGGACTGCTCCGTTCCTATTTACTTTTCCTGCTCCGTTAGACTCCGACCCAGTCTCAGTTCCTTCAAAACATCATTAAAACCCACTTCTTTAGGAAAGCATATTAATTAAACTGTTAATAGCTTTCCCTCCCCACACCTTGCTTCCTCCCCTGCAGCTCTGTCATCCAATAAATGAACCCTTCACTGTAAACTATATATTAACCTACTTTTCCCAAACCTGAAATATATCCAACGCTTACCTCTTGAGTCACTTTACCTCACTCCCTCTAAAATGTAAGCTTGTTTGAGCAGGGCTCTCATCACCCTCTGTTTCTGTGCTTCTAATTCATCTGGTTACAAATACATGTCTGTTAGTCCATCTATTGTACAGCACTACAGAATGTGTTAATAATAATACTATGCAAATGCGGTGCCTAGCATTCAATGCAAAGCAGGACAATTATGTTAGGGGGCATATTAGGACAAACATGGGTTATGCTGATCTTAAGTGGCATTTGTCTATTGCTAGTATAGTTTAAATGGAAGATATGTTTGAGAGAATCTGCACCGATTGTTACAGTGTTCACTTCCCATTTGATTTTATCAAATTGTACTGTGTGAGAACCTGTAATTAAAATGGATTTAATTTGAATTTTATTAGGATATTTTGGCATTGATCTATACAAAACAAAAAAGGAAATGGAAAATTAAATCTGCATGTCTGATCTAGTGATATAAACAGTAAAACAAATCAATTGTTTTCAAAGTCAAATTGAAAGTAATAAAGGTTAAAGGACAACCCAGGTACACTACAGCTACCAAAACTACTTTAATGCATTTGATCGGTTGTGGCCTCATATTCATGATGTGTTTTTCCCGACATTCAACCTCTTTTGTTTTGCTATAAAAAAAGGTTTTACAACTTCCTAAAACATAACTTTACCCCCCAACCCACACCTCCTCTTTTCACAAACCAACTTCCTTATTAGAAGTACACAGCCTAGCCAATGGGATATCAGTGTGAATTGAACTGGTGTCATGATTGTGCCCCACAACCAATAACTGTGCTCTTATCATCTGCCACCTTTCCCCTCATTGAAATAATACAAAGACAGTGATTGGTTGTGAGGGTAGAGTCAAGTCTACAGCGCTGCTTACACTGGTCTGTTATTGACTGAGCTACACGGCATGCCATCCATGAAGTGGTGGTGTGGCCAAGGGGTGGGGATTTGCTGCCAAAAAGTTGCACATTTTTTTTCCTTTTTTCTTTGTTTAACAAATCTAAAGAGATTTGCCTATGAAGAAAAGCCGAGCGTAAATTCAAAGCTAAAATCTATGAAATGTATAAAAGATATGTTGTATGTGCCAAAAGTATTTGTTTAACAATAAGGGTTGCTTTACAAATTACTATTATTATTGTATTAAAAAAATATCCCAAACTATGAGTAGCCACCAGAGCACCATTCATTTAAAAAGTCTTCCTGTAAAAACAGACGCTATGTATAAGGATCATAAACCACTGATGTAACTAACAGGCCAACAGTAACAACTCCGAATGACCTGGAGAGAGCTACAGACAAGTTGGAAGAAACTATTAATGGAACTAAAATGCTGATCATCGTCAAAGCCCAAATCTCAATTTGAGTGAGAATATGTTGCAAGAGTTTAATGCCTCTTAATACCAATGGTCCAACCCTTCAAACATCCACCTCAAGTATGGGTGATTCTACCAGCATGATTGCTAAAAACTCCCTGAGCTGTTCGGACTAAACTGGAAGAAATAAATCCTTGACAAGCAACATAGAAAATTACTGCCATGTAATTAAATTAGAGGATGGTTGCATGAATAGCCAAAACAATGCTTGGCATGGGTAAAGCCTAACTTGTTAATTTGTTGAACCTTCAAATTGTTAAATGGATACTATTTACATTGCCCCTGTAGATAAAACATTACAAAGCAAAAATAAAAAATACTAAGTATTTATATAGTATAAATTAAGTACAAAACGCATTCTTCATATTCCTGCATTTCTTAAAATCCCTATTCTCCACATCACCACATCATCCTCTGTGAGTTCAGCCCATACTAGGAATCAGCTCAGCCAATCAGCATGCTCCCTTTTTTTCAATGACACTGCCATAAGGATACCGAAAGTTCCATTCACCCTTTTATGAGTAGCTTGACTTCCTCTTCTTATGTCTAAGACTAAGGGTATGGCCTTATAGCTGCAGCAATTTTATTTAAATATATACCTTTGCAAGAAGCATACATTGTAATGGTGCTTGGTGTCCCTTTAAGTAAAATCATAATCTTATTCATTTTAATTCTATATTGTAACAGAACATAACAAGGCAAGTCCGGGGATGGACTGGTAATGCAAATATTACCAACAGTTATCAACCATTACCATGGAAACCAGTAGATGGAACATTTCTGCTTAACGTTTCACGTTAAAATTATTTGCTCAGAAATATCTCCAGTTCTGATTGGATAAATAAGGTGCTAGTGAATAGTACAGCATTCTAGGAATAAAGAGAACTTAGTAACGTACCTCCTTCCTCCGTGGCTCCCCAGCCAGATATCCAGCAAATTTTACCCGCAGGGAATTCTTCACCATAATTCGGCAAACAGATGGGTTGTATTAACCCTAATAATGAAAATAACTTATCAGTGACATACATCAAGAACATACATAGGGCCAAATATGGGCATCGGTTTAATATTTCTGGATAAGATTTTCATACGATTTAAGATTTTTGAATAAACTTTTAAAATAATTTCATTTGTTTGAATCATTGTCAGAAATTATTCCAATCTGCTAGAAAAAAAAAACACCTTTTCAAGTGATTGATCTACATAAATTTCCATAGAAGTCATTTCAATAGATAAATCATTTCAAATGTTTTTTCAAACAGATTGGAATCGTTTCTGATTTAAACACATTAAATCAAGGCCATCATAGTGTCAGAAGGAATGTTGTAAAGTTACGCATGAGAGCACGTTAAAACCCACTTGCACTGCACTTGGCGTAAAATACAATACATTTAACCCCTTAAGGACACATGACGTGTAACATGTCATGATTCGCTTTTATTCAGGAAGTTTGGCCCTTAAGGGGTTAACATACTGGTGAGCATGATATGCCCCCCATATCAGTATGTGCACATTGTCTGTAGCATAAATTGTATCAAGATTTCTGCAAATATTTTGCATAGGTTGAAGAAAGACTAGAGTCCATCAAGTTCAGCCATTCTTGCGTCTGTTTTTTGCTGTTGAATCAAAAAAAGGCTAAATACCCTGTTATAAATTTCTCATGTCATAATTTACACTGGCCACAAGATGGCAGTGTGAGACAGCATGTCCAGATAAGTTTGCTTTTTGCCCTTAGCTTGAATTATCTTCTTTTTAACTACAGTTGTCACCTTCATTATTGAAATATGTGTTTTCTTTGTTGCTGTATTTTTGTGTTTTTTCATTAAATGAAATCCAACAAATTGCTTTGAATGTATTCTCTTCTCGCTTTCTTTGATCTGTATACAGTTTATCAATATGAAGGTGAAGCTTTGAACTCTGCAAACATTGCTCAGGTCCCTATCTTAATATTGATTTAAAATTCCCTGCTGTCTGAGCCCATTAAGGATACAAACTCAGATATCAATGCACCATTTACAGAATGGTTTATTCACTAAGCAGTGGGATCTGGTGAATGGACAGCCAAATTACTAAATCCAGGATAGAGCAGAAAAACTGTGGTTGTTGTGGAACTTATTAGAGTTGGGTGGGTTTTTTTTGTTTTTGTTTTTTTTTGCAAATCAGTAAATTTTTCCCTCCTTTTAGTAAATAAATCCTGAGGTCTAGTGTCTGATTTCCTGACGTTTCAAGTATTTGATTTGCGTGTGGATTGAGCTGATAAATGGCAATGCACATATATATCTAATTAGTTGTGTTTTATTTTGGGAGTAAGAGTACGCATTTATGTACGACCTACCATAAAATTACAACTAAAACTAAAATAATACTTTTGCACACATTATTTAGAAACCCACTTTTTGTGTTTTCACACTATCTGGGTTATTAAGTGAGAATTCAAAGTGAATTTCGAATGTAACGCCAGAGAAGCCAAACTAAAAGCATTGCTGACTTTGAAAACTTTTCAACTCTGCTATTTTGACCTTAAATTTGAGATAAACTTTGAAATCTGAGTTTAGTGGATAACACTGAATAACTACTAACACATCTGATTAAAAAGAAATTCTTACTCAGAGCTCCAGCCTTTTCCTTTGCTTTCCACTGAGTTAATGTAAACTATAGGTGGCCTTAAAGGGACACTCTAGGCCCTTTTACAACTTCATCTTATTGAACTTGTTATTATGCCGGCAATTCTGTCCCCCACCCCCATCCTATCACCAAAACCCAATATTAAACCAATTAGAAGGCTTGGAAGAGCAGCTTCAAGCCACACCTCCAAGCCCTCTAGGTATGAGAGCCAGGAATCTTACTTCCTGGTTTTCATATTGTAACATATACCTTGATGTCACACACGCATGCACAGTCCATCATTGTATTCAATCACTGTATTCTCCAATGCTAATTCACAGGATTTTTCCTTTTATGTTTACTTATCTCCTTTTATTTAACAAATACGAGTTTGGTAAGTCAGAAAAATAAAATTAAGTGTACATATCTACACTACTGTCTTGGAACTGATCGCCACCATGTTGCCTTCTGTCAGCCATAGCTATAAACTATATATATATATAGTTATTTTGTCTCACTTGATTTGTGAACCAAATTGCGGGAAAATGCATCTATCAGTGTATTGCAAAAAATATATACAGAATATATACATTACATTTTTTATATATATATATATATCGCAGTACAGTGATTGGCCCATTTTCACACCTTTTAGTTTGTTGAAATCGTTGTTCCCGAAATATTTCATATACAAACACAAAGATAAAGCACCGCGCTTACAGCAGCAGTGGCTTAGTATCCAACAGCTTAAAATACATAGAAAAAATCAAGAAAAACGTTACCTGCGCTCTGGCCTAAATCCCCATGTGCATTTGAACAAAAATGGATGAACCATAACGCTACATGGACAAATCCTGAATCATCCAAAACACATTTTTTTTTTACTTATTTTTTTGACTAATCAATTTGGCTGAACCAAATTTTTTCGGCACGTCCAATGTCCTGGCTGTGCCAGGACTGAACTGAATTGCGATGTCATTTGCTAAATCATTGATACATATTTAGAAGAAAACAGAGCTTCACAAGATGTTTTTCTTAATAAATATTGTAAAGATGTAGTATATAATGAATTATAATGATCTCACTGAATATCCATGCATAATAACACAAATTAAGGTAACTAGACCCAATATCTCCAAAACTTACCACTGAAATTAAACGGACTTGCCAATTTGATAAGAGCGATATCATTTGTCATGGAACTAGACTTGTAATTGCTGTGGTATATTATCTTCTCTACAAGAACAGGAGGATTCTGGGAGTCGTGAAGATTGTTCACTAGCCCCACTTGTACGCTCCAAGATTCGGGGAAATACAAACTGGAAATATAAACAAGCAGCAATATGAAAATGGTCAAATTTAACAATTTGGCAGGTAAAAAAAAATGTAAATCTAATTGTGCAATAAATATGCAAAGAGACAAACCATTGCTATTAAAATCATAAGCTGCAATTCGATGCTTTAATAATTCTTCATAAAACTCTTTAGAGTTAATGATAACTGCTAAAATATATAATTATACAAAAAATAAATGTGTATTTATTTGAGTGACATGCCATCTAAAAGGGGTACGTCAGAGGAGACGACCCATTCCTATTTATTAAATTCTATCGATAATGGATTAAAAATAAGCAAAAACTGCCAATTGAAATGAAAACAAAATAAAAAAGATGCACATTTGTAAATTCACTCACATACTACACCCTCAGCCTTGAGAAAGAAGCTTAGCTCATGATGCTGAAATGTTGGCTATGTTTAAGGGTTAAAGCGTAGGGAGAGGGTCTGACTAGCAGATTTCCAAGCTCTCTGTGCACAACCTCAGCTGTGCTCAGAGCAGGTCTTTTGCTTTGAGCTTGCAGGTCACTTTTCTGCTTGTGAAAGCTGTCAGCACGATCACATCTCCTAGAAATGTTAGCTGGGCTTCCTAAGACTGTAAGCTCCTTCTTCATCTCTGGTGTCTGTCAACACTATTTTTATTCGTCAATTACTTTTTTTAAACAGGCCCACCCATATAATTGTGAAACACAGTTGAAAATGTTTGCACTATATAGATGCTAATAATATCAATCTTTGGACAACTGTATTACTGGACTTTGCGAGTTAGGAGAGAAAGTAGGGGAGGTACACGCGGGTACATTAGCCATCAAGACTGGACACTGATCAGTTACTGATCATTAAAACCATTAAATAACATTGATTATATTGTTACAACGGCACCTGAGAAGGAGTGGGATATATTAGGCAGCAAGTTAACAGTCAGTTCTTTGACAAGGTCCAACCAGTGATGGCTAGACGACTGGGTCAGAGCATCTCCAGGCCCGCAGATGCAGGGTTTTTCTCTAGGCAGGGAAACCTTGGTTTCTGAAATTCAGGTGGATGTACTACCTACCTAGAGAATATACAAGCAGACCACATATACCCGTTCATGGCAATGGTGATCCCTGATGGCAGTGGCCTCTTTCAGCAGATAATGCACCCTGCCAGAAAAATTGTTCAGAATTGATTTAAGGAACATGATGAAGAGTTCAAAGTGTTGCCTTGGCCCCCAAGTTCCTCAGATTTCAATCCAACTGAGCATCTGAGGGAAGTGCTGGAACAACAAATTCAATCCATGGAGGCTCCACCTAAATTGCATGACTTAAAGCATGGGTCCTCAAACTCTGGCCCCCCAGATGTTGCTGAACTACAACTCCCATGATTCTGTGGCTATCTATGTAATTCAAAGAATCATGGGACTTGTAGTTCAGCAACATCTGGGGGGCCGGAGTTTGAGGACCCATGACTTAAAGGATCTGCTGCCAATGTCTTGGTGCCAGATGTCACAGGACACTTGGTCTTGTGGAGTCCATACCTCGACGCAGCAGAACTGTTTTAGCATCACAAGGGAGACCTACACGATATTAGGCAGGTGGTTTTAATGCTATGGCTGATATGTGTATATTTCAATGGGGAGGTGAGACATAGGAGGTAGAGTTTAGATGTAGAAAAAATAGTTATATACTTTTTTTGTTTGTTTTTGGAAAAAGACTGTACAAAATAGAGCATGCGAAAATACAGCTAATACACTGTGTCAAAAGATGCATAAAGTGTTGCATCTCGTGTTGCTGCCATATTCACCTAATGTACTAATGTCTAATTATTTGAATCAATTGTTCCAGTATGATCCATTTACAGACGGTAAATATGCTAATATGCGCACACCTGTTTATGAAGCAGTTTCGCTGACACTTTTAATTAAACAGGTGTGGTATCTATCCGTAAGGACCCCGGTTATTTGGTTTATTTACCAACCCAGTGATGTCAAACTGACCCCCTTCAGCTCTTGCTAGACTGCATCTCAGTCTCCCATCATTCTCTACCAACCAATTGCTGCTAAAGGATCATGGGAGTCGTTGTCCCAATACAGTGAGGGTGGGTTATTGTAATTTGAACTGAAAACAAAACAAAATTACTGTTGATTTGGAGAATAGATGTATAGAAGTATTGAATTTTGCAATGCAGTGTTATTCACTATAATTTACTGTTTAGTGAAAAACATCCCTTAGCTTGTTTTTTTTAATTATATACTAAATTGTGGTGAGTTAACAGATAGATACATTTAGACATTTAGGCCAAAGCTATCAATCTGTTTTGGCAAATGAAACTTTTCTGTAGTCAGTTCACAAAGCAAATCACTCTCTAGTGTATAAAGCTCTTTCTATTCATGTATAGTACAGTACACGCTATGTGCGGCCAAAATTATTTTGTAGTTTGTTGTTTTCTTATAATAAGATTCACTAAAACATGCAAAAGATATAATGTCTCCGCAGGGTGCGCAAAGCAATGACATGTAAATATTGGTAGCAATGGGACAAGGCAGAAACAGTGTTATATTAACAAAACAATAATAAACAGCTTTTGGAATTGGAACAGCTACATATTTTCAGCGGATATATTGTAATTTTAAAGAGTTGTATAGGCTCATCAGCTTCATATATTACTTTATATTTCTCCTTAAATCATTGTTTTTCTCTCGTTTTAATTGGAAAAGTAGATAGCATACATTAGTTTGATACTCTATATTTTTTTATCCCATTTTGCCTTTTGCATGAATATTATAAAACAAAAATTGCATCCGTTGAGTCCACACAGCTGGGATTATGTTTGCAAGCATATAAAATAACACAAACGAGATGCATTTTAATTGAAATGTCATCCGAGGTTTATAGATGCTTATAAGCAGCACTTTGCAAGCCATATGTAACCAAATAATGTGTGTGAGCAATACTATACCCCCACTAAACCTTGTTAGATATTGTGGGGCTTATTCACTAAATATCACATTATATTGAGTTGAAAATTGCAAAATGTATGCACCAATAAATGATTTAGAGGAACTTGGCTATTGTTTCTGCAGTTCTGTTTTCAATTTACTGCAAATCAATGTTTAGTGAATAAATCCCTGTATATGTAAAATATAAATATAAAATATATGTAAAATATCGTTGGTATTTTTATTTGGAGTGCCATCATATTCTGTAGCGCTGTACAATTGGTATATAAAATAAAAAAATCAAAGCAGAAACAAAAACTAAGTGAAGAGGGCTGTGAAAGCGTGCTTACTATTTACAGGAGTTGGGGTTATTTATATATATTTGTGGTCGGGGACAAAGGCTGTATGCATACAATAAGGTTTGAGCTATACCAAGAAGTCGATTGTGGTGTGCCGAAGCCAACGAACGGGTAGGTCTAAAAAAACAAACAATAAATAAGATGAATATTATCATATACTATTAGGTGATAGAGGTCGTAATCTACTAAACTTGTAAACTTGTAAAGAAAGCAACAATCAATGAACAATAGGAAGTTTCATAAAAACACAAGTAGGACATTTAGCATATATTATATTTAAGGATGCAGTGTAGTAAAAATGGGTAAAACTACCTTGAGACTAACCAAAGATATAACAAATAATATGCAAATGCTTAATTACATCTTAGTCAAACGTGGCTTAAAAATTAAGTAATGAAAGCACGGCTGAACATAGGCCGAATGTACTGAACCAAAGAGAAAATGTAGTGTGGCCGAATGTAGGCCGAATGTACTGAACCAAAGAGAAAATGTAGTAAAATACAAAGCGACAAGCAATGCCACAACAGCTATTGCCAGCTGAGTAATCAACAGTTAGAGACAATTGCATGGCATCTAATAACATTGCACATTTTATAATATATTGTAGGATAGTCAAAGGATAAAGTAACATGTCAGCTTCTAGACCATGCGTGTGTGAGTAAGACAGACCATACATAACAAAGGGAAACAGTAACATTAGCTTGGCTCAGACATTGGCATCATATTTTAGTCAAAGTAGGGGCAGAGGTCAGGCTAGGACTTAGCATTAAAATACCGAGCTGAGCACAACTGTCGTAGTACCTGACTGCACATGCTTCTGCGGTTAATATAGTAGGACTGATCTAGGCTATTAGTTGTAAACATGCTACGATAGGTAAAAATAAGAAAACTGACTGTAAGAATTTTAGAGCAGAGCTGTGAGTAATGACAGCAACTAGTTACCCCTGGGTAGGTATGGTAGTCCTGTGTAGCTCTTTATAAGGTGTACAAAAAACATGTAATTGCATTAGGCAGGAAGCAGAGGGGAATCTATAACCAGGCGACAGGGCACTATGTAGGGTGTGCCAGCTTCTCGGCCAAAATGGTGAGGTCCAGTTTATGCTATTGTCATCAGCATCAAAGCGGCTTCTCTGACCGAGCCCGGGCGCCAGACAGTCTAGTAGACCTTCAGTTGTAGCTGGGAGAAAAGCTCGATGTCGAAGCACCTCGGCCCTGCTCTTCCTGTGATCCGATGTGCATGCGCTGGAGTCAGGTGGGCTTTGCTGGGAGCGGAGAGATTTGTTTCTCGGCACCCTGAATGGGACGCGTCAAAACTGCTGGGCCCCGCCGTGGGAGTTCAGTGACTGCCGTGTTGGGCGGTCGCACCTACTCTTTTGCTGTGTCCCTCTGGGGGGATGCCAAGAGGGATGAGGCAGGCGGTAGAATATCCCTGAAGGCCCCATAATTTGGAGGTAGGTCTCCCATCCTGGATCTTCGCCCAGAAGTGTGGGCATCGAGTTGACCATTCGGATGGGGTCCCCGTTCAGAGCTGGAACAGGGTGCAGGCATATCCTCCCCCTCCACAGGGGGTCTGCTTTGTATGTCTTCCACCGCTGAGTTTCTGAGCCCTCTTGGTGATGTGGAGTTTGTGGCATGGAAGCCAACTTAGAGTCGCCATGCGGTCTGTGGCTTGTAGGTAAGTATGTTTCCCCAGCTGGACCTGGATATCCCCCACTGGTCCAAAGGAGGGGTTGCAGGGCTTTAAGCGAGCTACTGTTTAGATTGGGCCCCATTTCAGGGGAGCGGCCGTCACCCCCGAACACTAGGCCGCAAGCTACACCAGGCTTCATGCTCCGATATTCGTACTGCTTGTCAGACTTTTGTAGATCTTGCAAGGCTGGAAATATCACACTTGTAGGCAGTAAGTTTTGAAAATTTGCTCATCAGTGCCAGAGCTCTCTCAAGACACGTCTGGCCATCTTGGCTGTCATGCCCCACTCCACCCCCACCCCCCTGCAGGCTTTTTAATGTAAACATTGCCTTTTCAGAGAAAAAGCAATGTTTAAATTGCTGTCTAGGAAAACCTCTAGAGGCAGTCATTCAGACAGCCACTAGAGTTGCAGCCTGGGTCAGTGTGCACAGTGTGCAGCACCTACGTTCAGCGTCTCCATACTCTGCACGATTTGCCGCACATGCAAAATAGCCTCCCGATGCTTTCCTATGGGAAAGCATTGGATCAGATGAGATCGTCAAAACTGATGATGTCAACCGTAGAGGTGGAGACAGCCATGGCGAGACTGGCACAGTGTGGATAAAAAGGTAAGTTTAATCACCTTTTTACTGCAGTGGATTGGAGGCCAAAAAAACAAAATAGTTTAATGCTACAGTGTTATGAATACATGTTTGTATTCCTGACATTGTAGTGTTTCTTTCAGTTTATCACTAACTCATTAACAGACAAATGAATATTGAAAGTCCAACTACTTGATGTTTTCAAGTAGTTGGACAAAACCCAGAGGATTCCCCTGTACCAAAAGCTCACTCTTCATCTCGGAACATCACATACCTTCCTTATGTGCCCAAAATATCCATACCAGTTTTGTGGGATCTAGTTACCAAAATATTTGTACAGATTAGTGGGATTAAGAAAAATTGCTCTAAACCATTTTGTTGTAGCCAAACTGACACCTTGAAGAGAAAGCCAGGGCGGAATCCCCTAGGAATAAAAAGTGCAATCCACATGATAGATTTGGTGCATTAACCCACTGATTTCTTTCACTGGAGAAAGCACCGGGTATTTTTTGGACGTCAGAGAGAAAATCAGAAATGCACATTTACATTCATGGAATATATTCCTTTTTGTTCCATTCTCCTTTCCAGGAAATCACTATATCATGTGTAAGTCATGCAATGACAGCATACTAAATAAAGGCATTTATTCATCGAGGTTTAGTTACTCGTAAACGCAGTGAGCAGCTGTTACGACCCATTGTGCAGTAATGAGGGATCCCCCGCACAAATGTATCCCTTGGAAGGTAAGACTGGCTTGCCAAGGCCACTGGCCCTCAGCAGATGAATTTCCACCAACAATTCGTGTTGACAATGGCGTGTAGCTGGGCCTCCTGCCACACACTGCAAGAAAAGAGACTTCTGATTATCCAGAACCGTGAAATCAGAGCGACAGAACAACAAAATAGCATTTTAAATTGATTAAACATTACTGAGGTTTATTTACTAAATAGTAAATTGCAGTGAAATTAAATCCAAATCGCAATATTTTTGCCAAAATTGCTGTTTTGGGAAAATTCGTCTCATTATAGTCATGGCTTGGCTATTTTAGAATTGATGTTACAATTTGCATTTCAATTCTCTGCAATTTCGATGTTTACTGAATAAAGCCCCATGAAGATGTGTTCTACACCACATTGTAATGCAGTAATAAACAAAGATGAACATCAGTATTGCATTTATTCAATCTTGATGCAATTGTTACAGTGTCCCTTTAAGTCTCCCAACTTTACTTTATGTAAAACAGAATTTAGACCATTTAGCCCCAAGTTCCATCCTATCTGTTACAGCTCCTATCTAACAGAGGAACTATTTCCTATTTCAGTGTTCCGGTCAGTTCATCACAAAACAGACCATAAGCTCTGGCCAGTGGCCACATCCAAACATGTTGGCCCTACTCTGGCCCAGAAGAGACCAAATATTCTGGCTTCAGGAATAGCTAATCTTCGGTACTCCAGATATTGAGGACTACATTTACCCTGATGCTTGTTAAAGCATTGTGGGGGTAAAAGTATTATGGTAGATGTAGTAATTCTATCTGGGCACCCTACATGGCTTCTAAGGAGGGTTCAATGACAGAAGACAAATCTGGGCACCCTACATGGCTTCTAAGGAGGGTTCAATGACAGGAGACAAATCTGGGCACCCTACATGGCTTCTAAGGAGGGTGCAATGACAGCCAGTATTGCATGCAAACCTAGTTTTAGATACTGCATTTACTGTATGTGGAATATCAACATAAGACAATATTTCAACATTTTAATGGCACTTTTGGCAAATTGCACTCCCCAGAATCTTATTTGGTTTCTTACAAATATATGAATCTTATTTGACCATTTTTTCTTTCCTATTTTTATTAGACCTACTGTAGGCTGTAAAAATGGCATTGCTTGCACTATACTAACAATGTACACTCTATCTTTTTGTCCCACTCACCATATTTCCGTAAATCTTGCTGCGGAATAGAACATCATTTATATTTTTTAAGTATCTGAGAAAAGCAATCTATATATAAACCTCGTATTTTTTCAAGTTGTATGCTATGTAGTGATTGGTTAATAATGGAATTTTTTTTTCCATCTAGTTTTTAGCGAGGACTTACCAATGCATTTTAAGGTAGTAACATTTCCTGACGAGCAGTATTCCCTTCAAAAAAGAAAAAACGGAATCAGTTTGTTTATTGTGCTTATCAAACAAAGCAGTGGAATCCTCGAACCTCCCCCAGCAATAATGTATGTTTCTAATAATACAATATAACACAAGTATCTGTGATTGAATCTAATTGGTGTATTCAATGACAGTGTTCTGCAGCAGGTGACAGAGATCTATTTGCATACAACTGCAAATCACCTACTGCGGCAGCAGAAGACATAAATTTAGCAACTTGACGGCAGAGTTCATATCAGCATGGAGCTTTAAGAATGAAATAACGTCCGTCACACACATTCATTATGTATATTATAAACTTTCCTTAATCTATAGTTTACCTGGGGTGTATTATATTATGAAGTAGCATCATGGGGCCAGAAAAATGTAAAGATTTTGTTACCGAGACAAATTGTCTTTTAAATTTTTCTTCCACAGCTTCTACAGGCAAACCAGAGGAACTCACATAACTGAAATGACATAATCATTATCAGAAACCGAAACTAGAAAAAATAATACATAACAAATGTGTAAATACTGTGAATTACGTGCTACATAGTACTCTAAATATAGAATATGAACCCTTACAGTTTTCAGAGCGGTTAGCAGAGCATTGCAATTGTTGCAATTGTCTATCACGGAAATAGTTAAAGGGACACTCCAGTCACCAAAACACCTTTAGCTTAATGAAGCAGTTGTGGTGTACAGATCATGCCCCTGCAGTCTCACTGCTCAATTATCTGCCATTTAGCTGCTAAATCACTGTTTATGCAGCCCTAGTCACACCCCCCTTCATGTGACTTACACAGCCTTCCTAGACACTTCCTGTGAAGAGTCATCTAATGTTTACACTTCCTTTATTGTACGTTCTGTTTAATTTATCATGTCTTATCTCTCGTACTGTTACTAGCTGGCTAGACTCTGCAGGAGCCTCCCTACTCTATGCAAATAAAGTTCAATTTACAGAACAGGAGATAAAAACTTTTAAAGTAAGTTACAATTCATTTATAACAAAAAAAAATTGTTTCCATGCAGGCTGTGTGAGTCACAGCCAGGGGAGGCATGGATAGGGCTGCATAAACAGAAACAAAGTGAAATAAATGGCAGGGAATTGAGCAGTGAAACTTCAGAGGCATGACCTATACTCCAAAACTGCTTCATTAAGCTTAAATTGTTTTGGTGACTATAGTGTCCCTTTAGGACAAAGGAACAACAACAATGTTAATCTTGTATGTCAAAAAAACACTTTTTTAAAAATCTATATTGAGTATTCATCAGCAAGAAATGTTAACAATACATTATCAAAAATACATTAAGTGACAGTGACTTTTTACAAATTCACAAATAAGTGCGTAATTGTAACTTCAGTGAAGATGGAGGTTAATAATAAAAAATACATGCTTGGAATACTTGTGTCTACTGGGTCACCCGCAAAGGTTTCAAACTCAATACTCAATAAATATATGGATCTTTCCCCCTATGTTAACTATCACTCCCAATTCCTGTAGACCCCACCTCCACACACAAACACTCCTTTTTGAGTGTCTTCTGGTCACTAACCATGAATTGCGTCAACGAACTGTTGCACCACCAAATCAGTAGGTAATTAGTACAATACTAGTATTCCACTGTGGGAGTTACCATAAGGAGAGCAGTGAGGAAGGACCATATGAGAAAAGGGCATGAACAGAGAGTTGTATTCGAGAAAAGATAATATGAAAGTAAGAAAGGGAATTTTGGCACCCTCCTCTCCGCCATCACATGACCCCAGCTCCCAGTGACTGAAATTTTTAATGCTTTTATATAAAGTGGAATTAACATGTTTTTGCAGAACCTGATCGCTAGCTAGAAGTTGTATGCATGTCTGTCCTGGTATAACTAGAGTATGCCATGCAGATTAGTTTAACCCCTACAGTGCTATATGGATTTGCAATATGGCATCAGCTCTTGTGGAATTTTCATGTAGATTCCAGGGCGAGCATTAGCTTGCGTAGAGCATTATGGGCGATGGTGAACATAGGCTTCAATAGCGGCTACTGTGGGTGACAGATACGCTTTAATACACATATACACAATACAAACACTGCATAGTTCATACGGTACAAAACATCAATAGACTTGGATGTCTGTAACCTCCTACGGGAGATATTAAACAGTCTGGGAAAGTAATTTTTTTTTTTTGTTATTAACCTCACAATATTGGCTGATCAAGCTCAACATTTACAGATTGACAAGTAAATCACAAGTTAAATCTTAATTTAAAGTTGATAATGTTTTCTATATATGGCAGCATTACTGGCAGTAAAATGGTTCGTAAATTTGGGAATTTAAACTCATTAAAAAGTGTCACACAGGATCAACTGAAAGTCAAAAAAATATCATGAATTTTACCGACACAGGATTGTAATTTTACCCCTAAACTGGTAAATGTGAAGAATTAACTAACAGTTTGCAAACTGGATTCCAAAATATCAAAATTAGAAAAAGATTCTATTTTTTTTAACTTTTCATCTATTTTGACCTTTAATTTTCCATAGTTCGTACTTTATTGAATAAGATTTTTTTTTATTTATTTAGTAAATCAAGAAAGTTACTATGAAATTGCATAACTGATAAAAAGTCTTCTCGAGTTTGGAAATTTTGGTATAAAATGTACTGTTGCCTTGTCAATTATTCACAGTCCTCTACAAATCCCTTCGCTTTCATGCCTGCAAAATAGGCAATTCACCTCCACAAATCTAGATATATTCTCTCTAAATGTCTTCTGCGTGTTCTGCCCTCAAGAAACATGTATCATGAGATTATAAGGTTTATACTTTTTCTTGTTTGCATTCACCAGAACTCGCACTGTTACGCATTCAGCTCCAATTTGTGTTACACTTGAAAGCTTCTCTCGAACATTAAATCATATTGAATCTGTGTTGTATGACATCTCTACTGTTTTCGCACAATCCAAACAGAGATGTTATTCTCTCCTGACTTTTTGTGTGTTCAAACATTAAGGCACTTCACATTCCTAATTTTGTTAGTATATGGCACCTGTTATTCTTTATTACTTGAAACAAAAATTGAGAATGCCTTTACGTTAAAGAAACATTCCAAACACCAAAATCACAACAGCCCGTTGTCATGGGTGCTCTGGTGCCCTCCCAGAACAAGGAGTCAAATTGTTTAAAAACAGTTTGACCGCTAACCTGTGGTCCATAGTCCTCCGATGAACTAAGCCATTCCTTGTGGTGCCAGCTCAGTGACAGCTGAGCCCTTTCAGCCAATGAGCACAGTCCTCTGTAGCCCATGGAAAGGCTTACTTCAATAGCAGCAGAGGATACAGTATACCTCAGGTAAACCGTTCTTAAAAGGTTTAACTAGAACCACAACAGCAGGAATATCCCTTAAATGACTAGAATTTAAAGTGAAATTGTAATAGTATTAATAAAATATTATAAGCTTTATTGAAGTGACATTTTGTTACCATTTTGTTTCAAAGTTTGTGGTATTAATTTTTAGTTTAACATTTTTACATACACATAGTATTTTTGATGCTTATTTTTTAAATCTTGTGTGTCCCACTGTCATAAAATTATCTTAGCTGTACTCAGCAACATCTCCTCAGTACAAATATACCCCATATGTATATCTTTGGAAAGGAGCGATCTTAATCTTGGGTCAACAAAACATTTATTGAGCATAGTAGATAGTAATACATAACAGATAATATCATATTTTTTAAAAAAGGACACGCAGGCCCTGTGTAACTGGTTACATAAAAAAATCAAACATGCATTATAAATTAGCGATTTTCTAGAGTGGAAAAGAAGTGTTATCAGCCTTTTACTTGTTGGTGGGTTCGTCTAGTTAGCGGTCGCCTTGTGCCCGTTCCAGCATTAGTTGATGTATTGTGTTTAGTCGGGTGTATTGTGGGAGTTGTAGCTAATGCGGTAGACTATAGGTGTTTCGTAGTATGAGGCCAATATGGCGGGTGGATGGGTTGGTATGGGTGTTGGGAGCGAGAGGGGAAGGGGGAGGGGGAATCGGCCTCAGACCATCCTCTGGGTGATTGCTCGTTTAGACCCCTCTTGTGGGGGTGCGTTCGATGCGGGTGGATAAGAGCCCACCTGCCAGGTAGGTATTCCGGCTATCCACTCATGTCTGCGCATCGCTCCCTGCCCCCGCCGTTCGCCCCACCACCAAAGCCAGCCACGGCCGCCACCTGTCCACGTGTTTCTCCTCAGTGCCTAATAGGGATGCCTGTACCAGTTCTGCAGTGTATATTTCGTCTACCTTGTCCATCCATTGTGCCGTTGTGGGAATTGTGGTCGATTTCCAATGTTGTGGGATTAGGACTTTGGCCACATTTACGAAGTGTCTAAGAATGGATTTTCGGTATGTTCCGATGGGGAGTGATGTGGAGTGTAGCAAGGCGAATTCTCTATCGAATTCCCCTGTATCTCCCAGTATCTTTCTGGTTATTTGTTGAATCGCGTCCCAGAATGGTATGATCTGGGGCAGTCCCACCATATGTGCATTAGTGTTCCTGGACCACGCCACACCTCCAGCATGTGGTGGGTGTTGCCGGTAAGATTCTGTGCAAGCTATCCGGGGTTTTGTACCACATTGCTAGCAGTTTGTAATTAGTCTCCTGATATTTGGAGCTTGACGGGCATTTGTGGTGTAGGATAAGTATTCTTTCCCATTGGGTGTCTGTAAAGGTGTTGGCGAGCATTTGTTCCCATCGTTGTCAATATGTGTTTACAGATGGCTTTATCTAGGGATGTTTTGTTGTCGCATAGGCCTTCGAACCACGTTAGATCTCGGTGAATTGCTTCTCTGTTCGGGAGTGTCTGGTAGAAGTGTTTAAGTTGTGAGTAATGGAATGTTTGTAGGCTCGTCGGTGGGTAGCCCTCTGTCATTTCTCGTAATGATTTCATTTCCGCGTTGTGTAGCGCCTTATGTAAGGGGATGTGGTCTCCTCTGTCTATGAAGTCCCAGGTCTGTGGTGGTGTGCCCCCTCATATTTTGGGGTTGTGTTGTATTTGGATCAGTGGGCTTGGCATTGGGGACACTTGGGGAGCTCCCCTAATGTTTTCCCATTCCCTCAATGTGTGCGTTACTGTAGAGTCTGGGTACAGGGTGGGTGGTATTGAGCGTCCCATGTTCCAGATCAACGGGATCAGGGATGGGTGTAGGTGGTGTTTGTCCTGTGTTAACAAACTGTTTGTGTCTCGGGTGGGAGTGCCAGTCTAGTATTCTCTGTAGGATGGATGCTTGGTAGTACTTGCGCATGTCGGGGAGTGCCAAACCCCCCAGGACCTCGGCAGGCACAGTAGGTTGTGTCGGAGGTGTGCCTGGTTCCCATTCCAAACTAAGCGGATCATGGCAGTGCATAGTGACGAGAAAAAGGTTGCTGGTAGGGCTAGGGGCACTGTTTGATAGAGGTATAGAATTCTGGGTAATATGTTCATCTTTAATGTCGCGATTCTGCCAAACCATGATATTTGGGGGTATGACCACTTCTTCAGGTCCTGTTGAATACGTTGGAGGAGAGGTGAGTAATTTGACTGGTATAGCGAACTCATATCGGAGGTGAGTGCTATTCAGAGGTAGCGCATGTGTGACCGGCACCACCAAAAGGGGTATTGGTTTTTGAGGGCTTCGACCATTTGTGTGGGTGCCGTGAGGTTGAGCACTTCACATTTCGCCTTATTTAGTTCGAAGTCTGACTGTTCTCTGTAAAAAAAGAGAAGGTCATCCACGTACGCAGCTACCTAGTGTGTCGAGGATTTCCACGTGAAGCCTTGTAATATTATTAATAAAAACAATACATGGCAAAATGAAAAACCATACAGAAATAAATATATACATATATAAGATACGGACAAGTCAATTTCCAGGACAATTCAAATATAGCTAAATAAATAGTGGGGTGCAATAAGGTGGATGAACTTCTGCTTTAGCAATATCTGTGAAGAGAGGCTGGGCTGTGGGTGCCCAAGGACCCAGATAGGTGTCAAACTATTCAAAAATGGCTTGTCCTTTAACAGTGTGTCCAAGAGACCTTCTTGCAGTGGGCTGTAGTGGTTTTGGTGCTTAGAATAGACCTTCAATTATGGCATTAGTGTTCCATAGAGACCTCAAAACTATACATTTGTTTATTATTTGTAATTGTGGATCATTTGTAAATTTATTGTCATTTTCTACCTAAATGATAAGAGTCGCTCATGTTGACTTGTAGTTCACAATTAATTATTAGTCTACCATAGGCTTCCGTTAGGTAATTGTAGATTTTTCTTTGATAATTTTTGTTTAGTATATTTTATGTTAACCATTACCATTACATCGCTAACAGCTTTCGTAACATTTTTAAAGAACATACAAAGCCACTGTATACTAATTCCTTATTACCTTGAAAACCCTAATTGCTTACATGTGAAGTTCCCATAAAAGGTTTCCCAATCATCGGAGCAAAGGGTTCTCCAAGATCCCGCAGAGTAAGCTTGCAACACAGAGTTTCTTCCACTGAGCCGAACTGAAAGATTACACACATTGCATCCATCATTACTTGTATCGGTTCATTCTAGTCACTTTCATTTCATATTAGGCAACATTATGCACAATGTGAAGTGTTTGGTTTTTTTATTTCTTTGTTTTTAAGACCAATAAACTCATTACGCTTACCATTTTTAACTCTACCTCAGCCTTCAGCACTCCCCCTTTTTTCGGATTCTTATATTACAAATCTTAAAACTGATCTAAACCACCTAGAAATCCATGATTTTCCTATGAAGTACTTCTGTGCAGGGAGTTGCTGTGTTAGCACATCACTGCCTCGGAATGTAGTATCATGATTGGCTGAGTCACTTCCTGGTTTGAGCAAAGATCACTGCAGATGCTGAAAAGCCTCTGAACTTACAGCAAATGCAAAAACTTTAAATGTGAGTATATTTGTGTTACTTGTCAGTTTAATTTAGTGTTTTCCCTCATTTTTAAAACAGTCTTCATATAATGCTCCAAAAGTAAAAAGAACCTAGGACTGGATGGCTGTGTGAGCAGGAGATGGGTTAGAGTTATGGTTAAAGAGTAGACAAAGAAAGACACATTGGGTATCTATGAGGTTGAGTTAATGCTAATCCTTTCCTTGTCGTGTCAGTTTCTAGTCGTGTGTTCAAGTCCATGTCTAGTCATGTCCATGTCCCTCCCTCATCTCCAGTCACATTCTTTGCTTGTCCAGCCATATATTTCCATACTTTCCAAGGAGGATTGCACCTGAAGGCAATCATGGTCATATTAGATGCTTTCATTCTGGACCTTAAATACATTGTCTCCACAAAGTAGCAACTCCTGTCCAGTTGCCTGAATTATCTCTGTGCAAAGTGCCTCTAAACAGCAGCTATGAGAGGAGGTGTTTCGTTGGTCACCTGCTGAAATGACAAATACACTTAATGTAATGGAGCCTGGAGGAGCAAAAATGGAGAGATATAGGGTTCCTTAGCACTGCCGTTTGTTCATCTCAGTTTCCAACAGTCAGTGATCACTTGAGGAAATTAACAAAATGGTAATTTATGGAAGGTCCCCTTGGACATGTAAAATTGCTGGCATTTCATTGAAAAATCAATTTTTCCAAAAAAATCACTTGTTATGAAAAGCACATACTGCCTGGCAGTGGAAGTATTAAAAGGGATTTTGTAGAGCTTCATACCTTCTTGTGTCAAGCTCTGTAAATATCCCAAGATTCAAACAAACGGTAATGTGTATACATTTCAGCTCATCCTGCCAAGATTTACCATAACATTATATCAATATTTATGTTCTCTACAGATCTGTATAACCTACACCAGAGTTTTTCCATTTTGTTATAATTGTAAATGATTAGCCTAATACAAACATATAAAACAGACCAATTAACGAAAGCACTTGGCACCCAGTGTCTTTAACTGATACTATAGAGAGATATTGTGTTGTGAAAAAGGTTACATTTTGTTTTCTTTCTTATTTTGGAGATGGGGGGCTTAGGTCATACTACATCATAGAAACCATGAATATGCCTCATATTACTCATATCAGAGAGTTCCTCATATCAGTAAGCGTACCTTTATCAGTGCCATACAATCAGTTATGGTAGTCTTATTTCTGAGATACTCCTTATATCAGTGACCTTACAGTTACCAGTTTAGTACTCCCAATTAAACATGCTTTTTAAGCAAGGAGTTTTATCCCTCTAACACAGAAAGTACTCACAGAACATAGAGAGTACTTAGTGTCAGTGCAGGTACTCCTACCAGTAAAGACACACAATATCAGTAAGGGAAAGAGGGAACTAAATGGAGTCCTATCATTAAATGCATACTCTGCATATTGGGAAAGTGAGGTTACTACCAGAATCAGGGTAGGTTTTCTTATAAGTGGAGGTACTGCTATCAGTGAGAGTACTGTTCGACATGAAGGCATTCCTGCCAATGGTGTACTGTTACTCTCAGAGTATAGGCTCACTGTATTTATTTCAGCACAGTACCTCTGTCAGTGAGGGTCATTATTGCTGTGAGAGTACAAGGGTACTTATGCCACAGAGGGGCATTCTTTTTGTGAGAGTGTTTCTATTAGATAGGTACTTATAGCAGTAAGGATCGTGCTTTCAGTCAGAGTATTTCTATTACAAGTGTACTTATACCACTGAGGGTCATGCTTTCAGTGATAGTATTTCTATCAGTGGTGTACTACTATATGTCTTCTTTTAATGAGAGTATTTACTGATGTTAGCCATGACTACCATCAGTGAGAGTATTTCTGGCAGTGGGTACTGCTGTTAGTCAGAGTACTACTGTCAGTGAGAGTATTTCTATCAGTGGGTACTACTGTCAGTGAGAGTACTTCTATCAGTGGGGTACTGCTGTTAGTTATGGTACTACCATCAGTGAGAGTATTTCTATCAGTGGGGTACTGCTGTTAGTCATGGTACTACTGTCAGTGAGAGTATTTCTATCAGTGGGTACTACCGTTAGTGAGAGTACGTCTATCAGTGGGGTACTGCTGTTAGTTATGGTACTACCATCAGTGAGAGTATTTCTATCAGTGGGTACTGCTGTTATTTAGAGTACTACCATCCATGAAAGTATTTCTAACAGTGGGTACTGCTGTTAGTCATGGTACTACCGTCAGTGAGAGTAATTCTATCAGTGGGTACTGCTGTTAGTCATGGTACTACTGTCAGGGAGAGTATTTCTATCAGTGGGTACTGCTGTTAGTCAGGGCACTATTTTCAACCGAGTATTTCTCGCTTGCTGTGATGCTTCTATTAAAGTACTAAGGATACTCTTATCAGAGATAACACTCCTATCAGTGCTTCATATTTGTGTCAGTACTGATTTCAGCAAAGTTACGCCAATCGATCCCTATACAGATATCATACTATCAATTAGCTAATCCAACTGGAGACATCAGGAAGAAATATTTTATATTAAAAAAAAAAAAAAATTATAAAAAATCTTAAAGGACTAATTAATTTCTAATGTCTAGTTAATATAGCAATTACTTGAGTAACATACTTGAAAGGTCGAGTCTGTAACGGCAGGCCTCCCTGCTTCTCTCCGTTTATGACTATAGACTCCTATTATAAACAGTATTTTATTTAACTTCCTGTACACAATACGTCCCCATGTAATGTATTGCTAAAATTATTGTCAAGGAGCTGGCCATACTCTGTCTTCACATGAAAGAAAACCTGATCTTATCCAGGACTAGGAAATGAATTAATAGCATAATGAATTCAACACATTGCAACCTGTCTGCACGTAATGAGGTTTTTGCACGAATAGTGTCCCATCCAGGCAATTGGACTTAACTCTCCTGTACATTTTGGTGAAGCAGGTTTCTCATGCACGTCTCATGAAGAGAGAATTTTGCCCCACCACTTTGAGCAGTAACTGAGGTTGATAGGCCTAAGAAGTGCTATTTTGGAAACTGAAGCATACTGTTTATTCAACATATGGAATGCAAAGCAAAGATAGTAATGCACACCCTTGTACTCAAGTAGTGCTTGACTTGGGTTTCAATTACAGTGGTGATGGGGTTACTTATTACCCAGCTCTTGCACGATCCTATGATTCTGGCTCCTGAAAGCACTATGTATGGTTCTGTCTATACAGGGAAAAACGTAAAAGCCAATGCATGGTCTCGCTTATAAAAATGTATCTTCACTATGAGGAAATATTAGGGCAAGAATAATTCAAGGCTACGGAGCTCCTGTGTAGCGGACCCTGGGTAACCTTCGCTAATTCCTTCCTTCAGCCACTCCGTAAACTAAGCATACCTCCATTTCCCCCAGTAACGTGACGACACACAGCTCTGGGAGTATAACACGATTTTATTGTGCCACACACTGCTTTCATGCATAACCCCCTGCAAGGGGTCTTCCACACAAACAGACAGACACTTCCATTCCAGGATTCTTTGTGCCTGGGAGCTAGGGGTCTAGTCTCTGTCTCCCAGGTACAGAAAGTCCACCACCCATGCAAGGGGTTTTCTACCCAAGAAGACAATGGTCTTCATCCCAGGATCCTCTGTGCCTGGGAGCCAAGGTGCGGGAAAAGGCTCTAGCCATTTGTCTCCCAGGCACAGAAACCCCGCCAAAATAGACAGTATCTCAAAAGTGTCCCAACCAACCTCAGGAACCCCACAAAAGTACATTCCCCGACTGGTCTCTGCTCGTGAGGTTCCTGTGCGACCATCCTTTTGGGATACGAATGCTCCCTCTGGTTGGCGTTCGTCTATATGAAATGGCGGCCACCCAGGGGAGCACTCATTAATTACTTCCCTTGCGGTTTCGCACTTAAGTGATTGGTGTGAACATTCTAATTGGGTACGGGGTTGTCCCCATTCGGGAGATGAATGAGTGCTGTTCGTATGGGCACTCCCGAACAGTTAAACAGGGCACAATGCACTAAATACACAGGGAAACAAGGGGAAACACACAAATAAGCAGTGATTCGGTCACATCCTGCAATGCAGAGACATGAGATGCACCTGAATGGTAGATTAAATGTCTATGACATTTGGGATCGAATCATCCTGATCAGTGTGTGAAAGAGATGTGAAATTAATAAACCTACACTGGAGTGCTACTTGACAGCTTGACACTTGACACTGAAGTGCTACTTGAAGGACCTTGGTGGAAAAGCTGCTTTGTACTCTTAGGACAGTCTTTTTGTCTGGGGAAAACACAGTATGAGGAGCATTGCATGAGAGAGCCTGAGGTTCAGAAGCATGCCTTGCAGTAGTGATTGCTAATAAAAAGGCTGTCTTTAAGTGTTCAAATGTATATCCAGTATATATATTGCATGTATGAGTACGTATGTGTAATACCCAGCAGGCGAAACATGTCTGGTTACTTGGCAAGAGAACATAAGCGGAAGTAATTGAAACAAGGACTGAATGTAGTTACATGGAAGAAGTTTCAGGTCTGGGCCAGGATCCTGAAGTTCCTGCACAAAGTTTGAGTTGGGGAATCTACCAGTGCTACCATACTCGCTTTTTCAAAAGATCTTTGTGTATTTGAGAAACTACCAGCATATGAGATGAGCCTTCATTTTATCCTACACTTGTGAGATCAATATTGAATTCTATATACCAAATGTATCTTACTTTATTGCCCAATTTGGTTTTTGTTTTTGTATTTTTTGTAGATGCATCTTTATGTTGATTTGTGTTTGTGTAGTGAATGTGGAGGCGTGTGTGTGTGTGTGTAGTGGAGACAGTGTGTGTGTGTGTGTCTTTGTGGTGTTGAATAAGCGCTGTGGGAAGGTGAGTAGTTTTTTTTAAAGTTTATAATAACGTAAGTTTACTCCTTTCCTTTTACTTACGGACAGAGAGGGTGGGACACTAGATTTACCGGTTGTCATAGCCGCCCACAGTAGTGCTTTTGCAGCTCTCAAGAGGACACTGCTGGATGTGGAACTTGGACTCTCCTGGGACCTCTCTTCATTATAGAAGCAATCAGGGTCTTCAGGTATATATATAAAATTGGGCAATAAAGTAAGATACATTTGGTATATAATAGTACTCGTACTTGTCATGCTCTGAGGGCAGCCCTGTTTAAGATAGTGGGGTGCCAGACTTCTCCCCCAGAATTTTACTCTTCCCTGTACAGTGCAGAGATAGTCATATAATGCAGAAATCTGAGCATACAGTAAAACAAGCTGGGCACAACAGAGAGATATCTATAAAATATATCTCTATATTGCTAGCCCTAGTTTAGCACTCCCTCTCATGAGTTCATTAGTTATTTAGCTTTTTATTAAATATTGCTTCTGTTATGAAACATGTCAGCTACTCTACTAGCTCTTAGCACACAGGGTGCACATAGTTAAATAATCAAGATACTGATAGACTCCAACCATGTCAGCTACTCCTGAATCACTATTAGCTCTCAGCACACAGTGTACACAGGGTAAAAGCATCAATATACTGATACTCTTTTTTTTTTTACCTTTGCAGCTGGAAATATAATTAATCAGCAGTTGTAATATAGTGCTAAGAAGTGGCTGACACGGTTAGCAGAATTAACAATCATTACAGATTAAAATAGATTGAAATTATAATTAGATCAGTCCTCAGAGTCACAGCCCCGGTCCTGCAGTTTGAAGCTTCACAACTTTTCAACTAGCCACAGTATGAGTGTCTCAGGTATCAGCTGTAGAATGACTGAGCAATGTAAAGAAGGTGTGGGTATGTGCAGTAGGAGTTATTAAAACTATTAGTTACAAGTAGCGCAGTGCTCTGTGTCAGAAATATCGCACTCCCATTTTCTTCTCTGGGCTTCACTGGCTATATATATATATATATACACACACACACACACACACACACATATATATATATATATATATATATATATTACATATTTGAGTATATTCCCTTCCTTAATCATCCCTCAAGCAGTCACTAGGGCTATTGTGTGAGAGAAAAAAGATGCTAGTGCTGTTGTGCTCTCCCTGTGCTACTTCCACCATGGCTTAATACTTCTCTCTCCTGTTGGCACTGTAATCCCACCCTCTGTATAATCCTAAGTACCCCTATGTACATCCTCCACTGAAAATGAACCCAAAGTGTTATTTTAATTTGCAAGTGAACAATTTTTTTTATGTTTTAATACACAATTCAACGATTAACTTGTTTCAATCACGATTTATTAATTTACCATAGGGCAGTTACATATAAAAACTCATCATACAACTACACACCCTGTAATAAATACTATATTATGCACTACACATTAGATGCATTGAATGCCACAAGTAGCGCTTTAAAGTTGAGGTTATTACACTATTAAAGGAACACTCTAAGCACTATAACCACTACAGTGTGTTATAGTGGTTATGGTGCCAAGAGTGGACTAGTGTTCCGTCCAATGTAAATAGTCAAACTGTTAAGTAACAGATTGACTTCTTACCTGGGGTCTTCCAGATGCCACACCACACCTTCTCTCAGCCTTCAGGAGAGCTGGAAGCTCCAGCTAGGAGCTTGTGTCAGCACTCCTGAGGTAAGCCCTGCCATGTAAGTCCAGCGTCCTTTCCACTAATCAGCAAATAATTAATATCAAAATGAATTTCTACTTTACGGCACAAGATGCGGATAAACAGAAATTAACGGAAATATGTGGCTATATAAAAAGTAATTTTATCACATAACTCTTGCATACTCTTCCTTTACTACTCCATAGCAGCAAAGACATATAGAGAAAAAAAGAAGCCAATCAGAGACAGGCAGAGAGTATAAGATACGCCTTCCACTGAGTCACTCCCTCTTTCTTTGCTGCTCCATCACAAGTCAGGTCAGAATATTGTGTGTCTACACTTTGTTGGCTTGTCTTGTTATATTTCCTTAATTTTACTTATTTACTTAATTGATTTCTTTCTTTTCTTACTGTATATGTATTAATGTAAGGTTTTATCTCATAGTGGTGACGCTGGTTTTGTTATGTAGGGTATAGACTTGGGATGTCTGTGTACCTACTTTATCCCCTTTTATTTCCTGCCAGTTTTTTGTTTATCTTACAGTTTATGTCAGTACATAATACTGATTTCATTATTAGAGGGTGAGCCCCTCTCCTAAACTCAGCCCAATACTGATATTGATACTAATTTCATTACTAGAGGATGAGCCCCTCTCATAAAATGTTCTCCTTGTGACTACACTCACCACTCCACAGGGACTCTCTCACAGCGACACGCTCTCCGCGTGTTCGCGTAAGCCTGTTTATCGTGCTTCAATCTACCGAACACGTTGTAGCGGAGATGCAATATTCCCCAGGTTATCTCCGCTTATAATCCAAGTGAGGCTCAGGAACAAGTAAATTGTAAATCCACAGGCAAGGTTTCCAACAGGCAAAATAACAGCAGTATCCCCACAGCAATCCCAATAACTGGACGACACACAGTTTCAGGAGCAGAACTGAAATCTTTAATCCACACTGGCCTTTTAAAGCATGCTCCCATGCAAGGGAGGGATTTACAATCATTAGTACAGTAGCCAATCCTGTCCTGGTAACCTCCCACACATCTCCTCCCCTCAGCCTGCATCATAATCCCCTTATCCAGTCCAGCAATTCCCCCCGTTTCTGGATGTACCCCTAAACGTAGGGGTACCCCCTTAAATCATACATCCCCTGGTAGCTCTGATCTGGGCGAACAACATATCCAAAAATCACCCAGATCAGACCAGGGGTTCGGGAAATTTATGGAGGGAATAAAATGACCGACCGCACTGAGTGAAACAGCCGAATGCGGTTCCATGTGAATGGGCCCTGCGGTCGGTCCTGGAGTCAGGGAATGAATAGCATGAAAACCTCTAGCTATAGAGGCTAGGGAGGGTTTGGCTGAAACCCCTCGTTCGGTTCTTTCTGTCTACCGAACGAGGGGCCGTTCGGTAGTTAGGAACCGAACGGACCGGGCTTGTGGAGGTTTCAGCGGTGTTCACTTAGTCAAGTGTCCGATTTGAGTTCCAGACACTCGACGGCAAAACACCGCTGTTCGTTTGTCGAATGGCGGCCACCCCCGAGAACAAAGGACGGCTACTTAACTTGTCAATTACAGGTTCGCAACAATGTTGCAACGGGTAATTGAGGACACACTTCACACAGGGGAGGTCTGATTGTTCGGTAGTTTCATTCCTTTAGTTTATTCGAATGATTCTACCGAACAATCAGAGGAATACATTTCTTTTAAAACACATATACAACCAACAGTTTATACGAATGCAGCTATTCACACGAAATTTTCAGGACAGCCCAGTGCCATCCGCTACACACGTATTCAAACCAATGCGCGTTCGGAGTTTTGTATTCCTTCCTGGTCGGCCCTTTGGACCATTCTACTCCCGAACGCACATCCTCAGCGTTTGGTAGTTCCCTTTTGGGTTGTTCGTTCCCTGTATTACTGTTCTGGCTCTGTTCGCTTTATTTCAAGCCACCATTCAACAGACATTCCAGCAAACGCATTTCACTGGTTGTTTTCACAGCCACTTTGGATCGCACCTCGCGAGTTCCGCGTCGGCCATTTAACCCGTGCCGGTTGCTAGCAATTAAACAGCGGTGAGCCCCTAATTTATAAATGTACCCTAGCTTATGCTAGCTGCTGCTGTTACTGGAATACTTCTATACTAATATTACTGAGGGTGAGCACCCCTATCATATTGTTACATACCCTGGTACCTTACCTTGCCGGAAAATAGTGGCTACTTTATCTGTCTGTCACTGTTACAGCCATAGGCGTGCGCAGCCTATTGCATTAGGGTGTGCACCCTAAAGCACAAGCACACACCGCATATATATATATATGTACACATATATACACACATACACACACTGCTGTGTGTGTGTGTGTGCTGTGTGAGGGTGCTGTTAGTGTGATGTGTGTGTGACGGTGCTGGTAGTGTGCTATGTGGGTGAGGGTGTTTGTGTGTGCGTGCTTGTGAGGATGCTGTTAATGTACTGTGTGTGAGGGTGCTGTTTGTGTGTGTGTGTGTGAGGGTGCTGTTAATGTACTGTGTGTGAGGGTGCTGTTTGTGTGTGAGGGTACTGGTAGTGTGCTGTGTGTGTGTTTGTTAGGGTCCTGTTTGTGTGCTGTGTGTGTGTGAGGGTGCTGTATGTGTGTGTGTGGGTGCTGTATGTGTGTTGGTGCTGTGTATGTCTGTGGGTGCTGTGTATGTCTGTGGGTGCTGTGTATGTCTGTGTGGTGCTGTGTGTGGGTGCTGTGTGTGGGTGCTGTATGTGTGTGGGTGCTGTATGTGTGTGGTGCTGTATGTGTGTGGGTGCTGTATGTGTGTGGGTGCTGTGTCTGTATGTCTGTGGGTGCTGTGTATGTCTGTGGTGCTGTGTATGTGTGCTGTATGTCTGTGGGTGCTGTATGTGTGTGGGTGCTGTATGTGTGTGGGTGCTGTATGTCTGTGGGTGCTGTATGTCTGTGGGTGCTGTATGTCTGTGGGTGCTGTATGTCTGTGGGTGCTGTATGTGTGTGGGTGCTGTATGTCTGTGGGTGCTGTATGTGTGTGGGTGCTGTATGTCTGTGGGTGCTGTATGTATGTGCTGTATGTCTGTGTGCTGTATGTCTGTGGGTGCTGTATGTCTGTGGGTGCTGTGTATGTGTGTGGGTGCTGTGTATGTCTGTGGGTGCTGTGTATGTCTGTGGGTGCTGTATGTCTGTGGGTGCTGTGTATGTGTGTGGGTGCTGTATGTCTGTGTGTGCTGTATGTGTGTGTGCTGTATGTGTGTGTGCTGTATGTGTGTGTGTGCTGTATGTGTGTGTGCTGTATGTGTGGGTGTGTGATTGTGGGGGTGGAGGTACATTACTTGCTATCCCCCCTCCCTTCTTACCTTTTGTAGGGAGGGGGGATCGTGCTGCTGCTTCCTTCCCTGGTAGTCCAGTGGAGGAGGGGATCCTTGCTGCTGTGATCCCTGGTGGTCCAGTGGAGGAGGGGATCCTTGCTGCTGTGATCCCTGGTGGTCCAGTGGAGGAGGGGATCCTTGCTGCTGTGATCCCTGGTGGTCCAGTGGAGAGTGAACTCTAGCACCTGTGGGGCTAGAGTTCACTCTCGCGAGATTTGAGCGTTGCCTAGGCAACGCTCATATCTCGCGAGACGAACCCGGCGGAGCTGCCGGCAATAGCTCCGCCGGGTCCTCTCCTGCCTCCCGCCCTGCATGTGGGTCAGTGGGGAGGGAGGCTGAGAGCAGAGCCGGCGCTCGGATAGCGCCGGCTCTGCATGAGCCGACAGGGGAGATCCTGAGATCTCCCCTGCCGGTCTCACTATACATAGGCGTGCCGCGGGAATAGGGTGTGCACAGGCACACCCAGCACACCCCGTGCGCACGCCTATGGTTACAGCTCCTATGAATTGGCTTCTGTTCACCTTGCCTGCTACAGGGACCTGTCAAGGTTAGTACTAACCTAGGGGTGGTTCAGTCAGTCAGGTTTATACCCAGAAGATCCCTATTCTGATCACAGGACTTGGGGTCCCAACTCCTTTGTGAAGGAGACCTTTCTGAGTGAGCCCCAGCATGTGGGTGATGTGGAGGAAGAGCTGGTTTTGGCGCAGCCGGATGGCGAGCTCTTTTTTTGACACCACGGGGCAAAGCTGTTTAACCCGAAAAACATTCGCCACCCACGTTCTGGAGATTGGACACATGCACTTCTGACTATGGAAGGCACTGTAAAAGGCACTGTAAAAGGAGGTCCACAAGCGGCTGAGATCAGAATGCACTCCAGATAAGGTCGCCTATACCCCAGAATTTGACCAGATGATGCTGGCCTTTATGGCACGAGGAGATAGAGACCCAAGGAAAGGGGTCGAGTAAGGGTTCAAGGGAGCCCAGGATAAGCTCCTTGATGCCGTCGGGCCACTCGCCCGGGTTCTGACCCTAACGGATGAGGTATTCACACAGACTGACTCCTTTCAGCAGACAACACGCGCGACGGGGCGCACGATGTTTGTGAGTGGACCCAGAAATGTTTTGCTTCCTGGGCAACACAAATGTGGCCCTCTTTTCAGAGAGACGCTAGGCAGCCTTATTCTGAATTGATGGCAAATAGGTAAACCTCTGGGCTAAAGAATTGGGCCCATAGGCACGAGGAAATTATTTGGTGAGCCTTTCATGAAAGGCTAATGCTTAGTCAGAAGAATCTGCTTAACCCTTGGGGGTCACAGGTTCAATTCCCCAGCAGGGTTGACTCTGCCCTTCAGCCCTTTGTCGTAGATAAAATGTTCTTTAAGAAAGTTTCTGAAACCAGTGATGGCTCACTTACAGGGTCAAGGCATGTGATGCTTGGCTTACCTGGACGACATTCTACTCTCCGACCAGAATAGCAACCACCTTCTTTCACCGGTACCCATGACGTAAGAAATCTGACAAGAAATTAGATGGTGGCTCGACAGTATACATGCCTGGAATTGTTGTCAGGCACCTCTGCTATCTGAAATCTAACAAAAGGGAGATCTGATTGCTGCATCCTGCTACGCATGGACAATTTCTCTGCAGTTCGTCACATCAACCACTTAAGTGTCATTTGTTTTTAGACACTGACGCACCTCACAATGTGCCATGATGTGCCTCACGAAATATCACATTGGTGGCGGAACATCTTTCAGGTGAAACCTCTCAACACTGGAGGGACAACAATGATTGGCACCTAGCTCCACACATATTGGCAACACTGAACAACCTGAGAGGTTCGTTCAGGATCATCTTTTCACGTCCAGCACCAACCGCCAACTACCGATTTTCTACAGCTGATTACCAGAAGTGACTCAGTGGAAGCCGTATCTTATTCTCTCCGCCTGTCTCTGATTGGTTCCTTATTTTCTCTATATGTCTTTCCTTGTCATTATTAAAATTAAGATTATTAGTACACTAAAGCTAGCATATTCTTTAATTTTAGGCATATAGATTGAATATCCAATTTTTTTCATGGTAGACATGCAGGGACACCCATTAACTTGAATAATGTTTTTATATCTGCAAGCATAATCACACCATGACAGAATTATATACAATCATAACATAATTTGGATAGAAATATATATATATATATATATATATAAATATATAAAAGAAACTGAATTACCACATCCGTATTCGTCATCTCCATCAGGACAATCAAACACCCCATCACAACGTTTCACTTTTTGCACACACTTTGAGGAAGATTGGCAACGTATTTGTCCAGGGCAGGTGAAGTGTACTAGGATATAAGAGGAAACATGATATTAATTTGGAATATTATCGTACAGAGTCAGTCGGTGAGAAACATTGGCAGGAAAGTGAGAATATTCAGTAATGCCAACTGAATTTTAAATTTTATGCCAAAGTAGCCAAGCTGGAAACATAAGAGACTCTGAGAAATTTTCCAGTTCAGCTATTTTCGGCATAAATTTTAAATTTACTTTGAATTCCCAACAAAGCTCACTTTTGTGAATGACCCTTTAGTTAGCTCCGATGCATCGCATGTTTAAGATAGTTTCAGTCTCATTCTTTATGGTTTTGAACCAGTTCCAGCTTATTATAAACACCAAAGGAAAAATGTCCCAGAGCTAAATGCATTCTTTGCTCTACTAAATGTTGTCCTCACTGATTGAAGCTTCTGTCATCTGATTACACCTGGCTAGAGATTTGTGCACGATGGAAAAAATTTGTTCTGACACAATTTTTGTTTCCAACAATGAAATTGAGTTTGGGCCCTCAGACACTCATACAGTTTAAGGTTTGGCTCATCCAAATATCGTACATAGAAAATATTCGTGAAAACAAATTGGACGAACAAAAAGAGTTGTTTGAAAAAAAAAGAATATAATGCACACACTAGAAAAAAAGGGGATAATACTTCCTGCAGGGTGCTCCAGAATGGGAGGGCCAATCCATTAAGACATCAAATGGAAAAAATAAAAAAATATCCAGACACACCTGAGGTTTCTTCTAAAAGGCAGTCTTTTTGGCTCGTCTCTAAGCCTTGATCAAGAACAAAAAAAAAAGTGTGACAATGGGCCAATCAGCGTGCTGAAAAATACATAGATAATATAAATATTAATATAAATATATATGTTTTGTAGTAGATTGATAGATGAAGCTGACCTTTATTTGGCTCAAAAATCAAGTGAAAAAAAGTAACCAATAGAAGGAAAAGATGAGGAGCAGTGAAAAAAACATTTAGTTGATGTCCCCTAACCATCAATCATCTCTTTTTTTGGTGCCATGGGTGGAACTCCAAACACCAAATTAAAACGAGCATGTTTGGCCATCACACTAGTCATTTTAAGTATCGAGACTTTGGCCGAACAGCCAACTTACCTAAATCTGGGCAAATTGCAATTTGGGCAAATCCAAATACACAAGCCTACCTGCTTATGATGACTTTGTCAATTAAGAAGAAAACTGTTTCTTTGTAGTCTGCTAGAGTATTGCTGGTTCCTGACCTACTGTCTCATCTTGCATCAGGTACATCCACTTCAAGTGACTTTGTATTATTGGATCATTCTTATAATGTATGATTTATGTTTCAGAGACTCTGTGTCCTTGGTCGTTGTTATCACCGGTATCAAGAAATGCATGTTTTGGATTTCCTCCAAATCCATTTTTTTTTCAATGTACATTTGTACATCTGTCTTTAACTCATGGGTTACTCCAATTAGGAGTGTCCTCACTTGTACAAAAAAATCGTACTTCAGTTAGTCATAAGCATGAATTGCATCAGACTCAGAATCCATTCTTCCCTGCTTCTCCTGATGTCCACTGATTATGGAAGAATAAAAGTACTTTTTCTCATAATTTAATGTATGTGGGCCAAAGATATTTTTTCCTGATGGTTCCATTTCATTTGGGCTATTTATTTACAATAACAGTATATGTTGAGGAAATATCTTGACACTGAAAACTCATAGCTACAAGATTTAACTAGGCTTTCATTTGGTTTTTGAGCCTTCTCGACAATTATAGAAGAACCTCTTGGAGCAATGCAGTTTAAGCAGAAATTGACATAGCTAACATGTTCGTCTCTCACGTTACATTTAAATTAGGACCCACCAACCAATCATAGACCTAGAGACTGCCTTGAAACAGACTGTTATAGGATGTGTTCTAAAATTTCCTACTAGGATTAAAAATGAATTTTATTGAGATTTTTACCAACCATTTGATTTAAACAATGCACTTAACATTCTGCATATTTTTATGTTCATTAAACAATAAAATGGACATTCGCTGTGTATTTTCCCACAAGGCTGTAATAAATTAAATTAACAAGGCGTCTTGGTGCTTCACCCTCCACATTTTTCAATTTCACTGCTTGTTCTCCCAAGTCTTCTGTCTATGTCCTACCACATTAATTAGTTATTCTTCTTCTTCCTGATCATGTTTTAAATCCATCTCTCTTTTAGCTATTGTATCAAACCCATCTTTCTTCTTGTTGGTGTTTCTTATACATTTTCGCTTTAACTCTTCTATTCCTTGCTGTCTTATCACCGCCTTTTCTTAATTTGACCTTGATTTAATACACTTTTCAAATTATTCAATACTGTTTCTAAATTATTTATCTACAAAAATCCTACAGATTTTAATGGCGATTTCTGTAGATAAATCACCTGGAAGCTTTTCTAACGGTATTGAATTATGTGAAAGCTTATAAAATTGAAGTCTTTATCTCATATTTATTGGTTGGTATCCCTAATCGTCAATGTCATGTATCTTCTTACCTACTTACCTCCTTTATTGCCTTATTCCTGTCTAAATTTTCCCCTCGTTTGCAATATCGCGTTCCAGGAGGCATTTTGGGAAATATAATAATGTAATAAGGTTGATATAGAAGTTGTATGATTCTCAATAGCTTGAAAATAATATATTCTGTTTTTAAGTCAGAGATTATAAAGAGGTGCACGCGTGGTCAATGATCACTTGGATCGTGCAGGAGAAAGAAATGGCAAATGATAGACAGTAACTAAGTTCTAGCAGATGAACATTAGCCATAAAGAATGCTTTTCTTTCTTATGTCCAATTAAGCTATTTAATACCCAGGTAAAGTAGCTATCAAACTAAAGATTATTAATTGCACAGCTCTCAAAAGAAGAGGGTCACCCTGCTTTGTTTTGTGAGAAAAATACCCGATCCTCTACCATTTATGTAAGAGGCCGGAAAAACTTTGAATTTTTGACTACTTAATGGAGAACTGACTGAATAATGACTAGTACTCACCAATCAGTCCTGCAGCAACGGAGAGAGCAATTACAAGTACGAGAAACAGAATAAAAATCAAATACTTCACGGGAATAATAGGATGGCACTTTGACGATTCAGCATTTTCTCTGTTTTCTGAAATGACACGAACAAATAAAAGTAACAGGGTTGTACTGACATCTATACAGCCATCAACATCAACTTCTGTACAGACGTGTCTTGGGTAGAAATTCTATTGTAACAAATACAAGTTCCATACTTGTTTCTAGCTGACATATTTACCCTACCAATATCTTTTTGGTTGTTTTTTGTCTAAAAATATGTCACAAATTTATGTGCTGCAGGTTTATTTCATTTTTGTTTGTTTATGATTGTCAGCTTAGCTGTTTTTTTTTTTTTTATTTACTTTCGTGGGTTTTTTATTTGTGTTTTTTTTTAACTCAGGAAATGCCATCTGTGGGAAGCTCAATAAAAGATTTGTATTTTTTTTCTCATCTTTAGACTTGTGAGAAAGCAATAGCAATGTTATTTCATACATTAAATGAGTGCTTTGCCATGTTAAGAATAATAAATGAATCATATTCATCATTTTAATATTTCCGTATTCGTTTAAAACATATAAGAACAAAAAATACATTTTTAGACTCTTTGCAAGCTATCCATGCCGTTGGCATGTCGTGTCGTGTGAGTAAAAGCAAGCATTACTTAATCTGAATGAGTTAGACAAAATCTGTTATTATACAGAATTATTCTTGGCATTGTGATAGACATGCTGAGAGCACACCATATTGTTATAATCTGAAAATTTTTATTGGACCGCACCATAATTCAAACCTTAATTACCCTTACGCTGGCACAAAATGGTCAGCTCCTGCAAGTGCATGTCCAAAGAATGAGAGTGCAATGTGCAAACATTCTCAGGTCCCTTCAACAGTCCTGATTTTGGCAGGAGAGTCACAATTTTGGGGTCTTGTCCCCCCATCCCAATCCCTTGGTGTCTCGTATCGGTCGGCACTAGGGAACTGTTATGCGACAGCACAACACAAGTGCATCGCATTTCTTCTACCTATACTAGTGAAAAACGAATACCACAGTCCTTCATTGAAAGAACAATAGTCCAGCACAATGCATGGTTCATAATTACCTCTAATTAAAGGGGCAGTACAGTCATAACATATACAACTGCAAATATTGCAAATTGGTAGCTGTGGCTTTAACCGAATTACCATACAGCATTAGGAATAGCAGATGTCAGAACAGGTCGTTATTCCCTGTTTGGCAAAGCTACAAGTTCATCCCAGTCAACAGCTGCCTGCTGAGACCCTCCAAATATCACATCTGTATGCTCGACATCTGGAAAACTAATTAGCAGCCATTTAAACATGGCTGAGAATTCCCAAAATCTGAATAATATGCAACAATAAAAAAAAAAAATAAAGAAGAAAATTAAAAAAAAACTAAACAGAGCACATTAGCTGCTATGCTCAAACCTCATAGGAGGTATAGAATAAAATGTATGCAGGTATACAATAATAAACTGTGAAAAATTGTAAACGCTGTACATGAAATGACATAACATTTTTTTTTTTGGGGGGAGGGGGGGGGATGCATAATCTCTTTTTTCCATGATTTATATGACTTGCCATCTTAATATACCTGGCGTTAATTTTGTAAATATAAATAGATGTTCATATGTGCTCCTCATTGATGCCAGACATTATGAATGATATATAGATCATTGGTTCTTAAAGAGACAAAATACCATAAAAAGAGATAAATCCGCACTTTAAGTAAAATAATTACAGTCTTATGGCAGCTAAAACACCATATGCGGAGTCTCTCTCTTCCGATTAAAAGCTGGATAAAAACAGGAGGTAGGTGCAGAGCCTAAATAGTCCTCATAGGGGTTTATAAAAGGGAAATACAATAGTGTAGTATTTAAAACTTCGGCTGGAGTAAATAAGATAAAAAATGGCCACTCACACTTTTCTGGAGCTTTAATACAGCTCCAACTTATATGCCTAGGCGAAATGATCCTTGCCTAAGGATTAAGTGCAGGGTTGACTTTTCATGTTGTTGTAGTTGTAGGAGGTATTCTCATAGAAATAAATATAAAATAAACATATATGGTGTAATATGTTGGGATATGGAGCAGGAGTAGGTATAGATAAATGTGCACTCACATGTTATGGAGCCGTAGATATGGCTCCAAGGATAGCGTGTGAAGTGGTATGATCCCCACTCAAGGATATGGTGCAAATAGTTGTTATCCATGGATATATATATAGGAGGAAACAAATAAAACCACAATAGTGTACTCTGTAATATGTAATGCAAAACACAATAAAAAAGATAAAATACCTACTCACATATTCGAGAGCAAAATGTGGCTTGCTCAATCCAGTGAGCTTAGGTGGTATTATCCCCACCAAGGATATAGCCAAAAGATCCATCAGCAGGAGCAGCAAAATGTCCAATAAAAAAGTAATTTAATGTAAAAAAACACTAAAAACAGTAACATGGTAAAAAAAAAAAACAGTTAACGCGTTTCTCCTAATACATAGGCTTTATCAAAAGTGTTGATAAAGCCTATGTATTAGGAGAAATGCCTTAAGTGTATTTTCATACTGTATCTTACCCTGTTACTGTTTTTACTGCTTTTTACATTAAAGTACCGTATTTATCGGCGTATAACACGCACCTCATTTTAAGAAGGAAATTTCAGGGGAAAAAAACTTAAAGGACCACTATAGTGCCAGGAAAATGAGTATGTTTTCCTGGCACTATAGTGGTCCTTTAAGTTTTTTTTCCCCTGAAATTTCCTTCTTAAAATGAGGTGCGTGTTATACACCCTCAGGGACCCCCTCCGGCCGGGCTCTGGAGAGAGGAAGGGGTTAAACACTTACCTTTCTCCAGCGCCGGGCGGGGAGCTGTACTCCTCCTCTCCTCCTTGCTCGCGACGTCATCGGCTGAATGCACACGCGCATTCAGCTGGTCGCATAGGAAAGCATTTACAATGCTTTCCTATGGACACTTGCGTGCTCTCACTGTGATTTTTCACAGTGAGAAGCACGCAAGCGCCTCTAGCGGCTGTCAATGAGACAGGCACTAGAGGCTCTGGAGGCTGGATTAACCTTCAGTATAAACATAGCAGTTTCTCTGAAACTGCTATGTTTATAAAAAAAAAAAAAGGGTTAATCCTAGAGGGACCTGGCACCCAGACCACTTCATTAAGCTGAAGTGGTCTGGGTGCCTAGAGTGGTCCTTTAAATATTAAATAAAGAACTTCTTACCCCCCTTTCTTACTCCCCCCTCCCCCTCTTACCCCCTTCTTACTCCCCCTCTTCTAACTTTCCCCTCTTACCCCCTTCTTACTCCCCCTCCCCCTCTTCTTACCCCCTTTCTTACTCCCCTTCTCTCTCTCCTCTTCTTCGTCCCCTCCCCTCTTACCCCTTTCTTACTCCCCTCCCCCCTCTTGTTGCCCCTTCCCCTCTTGTTAGCCCCCTCTTGTTGCCCCCCCCTCCCTCTTGTTGGCCCCCCCTCCCCTCTTCTTACCCCCCCCTTCCCCTCTTGTTGTACTCCCTCTTGTTGCCCCCCTCCCCTCTTTTAGCCCCCCTCCCCTCTTCTTACTCCCCCCTCCCCTCTTCTTACCCCCTTTCTTGCTCCCCTCCCCTCTTATTTTGCTTCCCCTCTTGTTGGCCCCCCCTCCCCTCTTGTTGGCCCCCCCCTCCCTCTTCTTTTGCTTCTCTTGTTAGCCCCCTCTTGTTGCCCCCCTCCCCTCTTTTTAGCCCCCCTCCACTCTTCTTACTCCCCCTCCCCCTTTCTTACTCTCCCCTCCCGTCTCCCCTGTGGCGTGGCGAGCCGCTCTGCGCTGTCAGCGGTGGCCGGCCGGCCCGGTGATGGGAAGGTGCGGCTCAGTGTTGCGCCACTGTCAGTCCGACGGGGTACAGGAAGCAAGCTCTGTTCAGCGGGTGGGGAGTTTTCCTTTCTATACCCAGTCCCGGACTGACAGAGAAAGGTACACTGGCGATACTGATCCCGACGACCAGCAAGCGGCTCTGTACCAACTGCAGCCGCCTGAGCGCTCTTGACAGAGCGCTCAGGCGGCTGCAGAATTTAAAGGGCCGGCGTATAACACGCACCCACGATTTCTCCCCTATTTTCAGGGAGAAAAAGTGCGTGTTATACGCCGATAAATACGGTACTTTTTTTTCGACTTTTTGCTGCTGCTGGATATTTTGGGCTATATCCTTGGTGGGGATAATACCACCTAAGCGCACTGGATTGAGCAAGCCACATTTTGCTCTCGAACATGTGAGTAGGCCTTTTATCTTTTTTATTGTGTTTTGCATTACATATTATGGTGTACACTATTGTGGTTTTATTTGTTTCCTCCTATATATATATCCAAGAAGAACAACTATTTTCACTATATCCTTGAGTGGGGATCATACCACTTCACACGCTATCCTTGGAGCTATATCTATGGCTCCATAACATGTGAGTGCACATTTGTATCTATACCTACTCCTACTCCATAGCCAAACATACTACACCATATATGTTTCTTTTATATTTTTATTTCTATGAGGATACCTCCCACAACTATGACAACATGAAGAGTTAACTGTGCACTTAATCCATAGGTGAGGATCATTTCACCCAGGCGCATAAGTTGGAGCTGTCTTAAAGAGACAGTCTGAGCTCTTAAAACAACTTTAGCTTGATGAAGTGGTTTTGGTACATAGATTATGCCGCGGAAGTCTTGTTGCTCAATTCTCTGCCATTTAGGAGTTGAATCACTTTGTTTATGCAGCCCTAACTAGAGTTGGGCATTCATATTAAAATGAATGGATTTTCTGACAAAAATTGTCATATTCGTCCATTAGTCCAAATACTAAATAACAAAAGGGGAGCCAAATGAATGAACAAATGTATGGGCTCTGAACGAAATTCTTTTATGCAACATTCATTTATTCATTCATTTGCAAGTGGCGTTTGGACTTTTGTATTTCATTCTCTGTAATTCAAAATGCCGAACACTTCGTCTGAATGCATGAATGGCTCATTCTTAAAGTGCGCCTTTGTTCTTTCTGCAGAGCCAAACTAACGAATGTGCAGGGAATGAATGAGCCATTTGTTCATTTGGATTATTTGTTCAGCCTTTTCAATTACAGATAGTGTTCTGTCTGTTACTGTATGTATTACAAAATGCCGAACGAGTCATGCGAATGCACAAATGGCTCCAATATTCGGTGCTCATTTGTTATTTCTGCTCACTCTCATATATTTCTTGTTACAGGTATGATGTGAGTGAGCCGAACGATCGTGTGAGCAATTTGTGCATTTGGATGAAACGTTCAGCCTTTTGCAATACATTGCTTTAACATAGGGAAATGGGATGCAGTGAAATCAGAAAACGAATGAGTCAATGGACTAAATTTGGTTTTGACAAAACACTTTTTTTGGACATAACTAAAATTTCTCCAGTGCCAAAATCTAAACCTTATCAGATTACTCCTGGCTAAGACTTATGCAGCTTTCTAGATACTTCCTTAAATAATCTATTTATTTTTTAGGTTATTGCACAATGTGTTTAATTGAGTATTGCTTATCTCCTACTACGTTAAAAATGTGCTAGACTCTGGAGCAGTCTCCTGTGTGTGATTAAAGTTCAATTAAACGGACATAAAAACATCTAAAGTAAACACACTGTGCTGTAAGATATGATTGAAAATGAAACCACATTTCATGTAGGTTGTCTGAGTTACAGCCGGGAGAGATTTGGCTATGGCTGCATAAACAAACAAAGTGCTTTAACTCCTAAATGGAAGAGAATTTAGTAACGAGACTGCAGGGGCTTGATTTATACACGAAACCTGCTTCATTAAGCTTAAGTTGTTTTGGTTACTAGAGTGCCCCTTTAACCTTTTTTCAATGAGCTTAGTGAATGATTCCTCAATTCTAAAATCAACTAGGCAGCCATGCTCTAGTTGCGATATAAGATATGTTGAAATAAGTTCAGCCAAACATGTTTATGAGACTCTGCCCAGTGCTCCTTTACATTGTGACGGAAGAGCCGCTTCCATTTGTCTGTCTGTTACAACCAGACAGGGGGGTAGGCAGACAGATTCCCTTTGAAGTCAAGTTTATTCATTGAGGAAACCAGTGTGCAGAACACTGACTGCCACTGCATCATGAATCTCAGAATCCCAGGGCAGTGAAGCAAACTATGATTTACTGCACAGATACCAGGAATAACAGTTTTAGCCTTCACTGCTCATTTAAGGATATTCAGCCATCAGAGATTAAACAAAGCATTGTAAAGCACACCCTTATGGCATTAAGAGGATTAGAGAAGGTTAGATGTACACACTGGCTGTTTAAATACACGTCTATGTTGCAGCTGAGTTTGCACAGCTTAATCACCAAGGCTGAGGCTCAGTAGGGATAATTATATTTAGGTTCGATGGAGAACAAAGATCGTGTTGGACACAGCTGTGTGGTTGTTAACTAATGAAACCCACAAGACATTGTATGTTAATCTGAATACTGATTGCACATTATAAAATCTGCCGCACAAATCAGTACAAATTAAAATGTTCACTTTTTTTTTAATAATGTTATACTGATTCATATAAACTCTTAAGTAGATCAGCAGAGTAAAATTATTTTCATTGCTAAGATATCACAAACATTAAAATGAATGCAGAAAAAAACACAATTGTATTTTGTTTAGGGATGCCATTATTTTCAGGATACTAATGAATTCTGCCTTCTTCTATACAGGGCTTGAAAGTGCTGCCCGGCAGTATGAGGAAATCAGATTCTTCCAATATGCGCACTGAAATTGGAAGTGTGTGACCTGAACTATTACGCAGGGCCAAGTGGTACACTGACAGTGGGTGTTGCTGCACTGGGATGCTGGGTTGCAGGGTACAACAGCTGGTAATGCTGCTTTCCCACATTGACAGCCAGGGCCTCACCATCACCACCATAAAGCAGACCTTCCAACAGTCTCACTTTTGGCAGGACAGTCAGGATTTCCGAGTCCTATTCTGCCCTAACCTCTTTAGTTCCCTCTACCAGGGACCACAAGGAATGTACCTTCTCATGATGGCTCATTCGCATGGTTAACACCTTCTTATGGAGTCTTATGGAATACATTTACAATGACCTCTATCTCAGGGAAAACACTTTTTACGGTGTCTTAAAATTTGCAGAGGACATCTTTTAATACAGACTTATATCTCACGGAGGAAAACTTCTTATGGTGACTTCCATCTGCTAGATTATAGTGACTTCTTTTAGTGACTTCTATCTTAGGGTTTTTATCTTATATATACGTCTGTGAGGAACTGACTCTGCTGGGTTTCGAACCCTGGTTTACATGGTGCTAAACCTTTTCCTTACCAGTACACCAGCCTGCCTTTTGCAAATTTACCTGAAATCTTATACCATTGCTTGTAGAGTCAAGGTTATCAGTGACAACACTCTTCAGCTGTGTCTGGTCAGGTGTCTGGTTCTTGTCCTATAAAAGCCACTTCCTGTCTCTGTACCTTTGCCAGATTATTGTGGTTCCTGTACTCTCTAATCAAGCGTGTTCCTGTTTCTCCTTCCTGTTGCTGAATTTGGACTGTTTTGACTTTGCTGCTTCTCCTTCCCACTGACCTCGGCTTGCCTCACTACGATTATCATCTTTCTGTTCCAGTCTCCCATCTCTGCTTAAGACCAGAAGGCCACTCAAGGCTCAGGGGCTCAACCACCTGGGTAACGAGTGGCTACCTCTGGCAGAAAACATTGCTGATCTGACTACTGGACTCCAAAACTTTGTAACATCAATATCATTACAACGTCTTTCTGACGGAGAACACTTTCTAATGGACATTTCTTTTTGGTGGAAAACTCACTTAATTTCTTATGGTGACTTCCATTTTATGGAGAACCTCCTTCTTGTAGAACCAAAATTACCTGGACATCCTATCTCGCACCATTATATATAGAGAGAGAGGTGGAGGTCATGTTATACCTGATCTGTTTTCTCCAGGTTCTACTTTCCTTTGTGTCAGGAAAAATCGAAAGTAAGAGAATGCAATGTCCACGACTGGCAATTCTTCCTCAGACACGGACACGACTTCCAAACTGCCGCTAGGCGGAGCTTCATCCTGAGCCTGAAATTGAACATTAAGTATGAGGTTTATTAAATCAGTGGAGATATAACTTTATAATTAATATATGCTTATCTACATATATTATGTTATTGTTACCGACAGAAACGAACCTCCTAGGACTAAATACAAATCACCAGTGAAAATATTTACAAGGTCGGTACCAGCAAAGTAAATTATATTAATTCAGATTTTATCTGTCGTTTTAACTGCACAATTTGAACAATTACTGGTGGCACACACTGACACCCACACATTTTGTAGGCAGGAAATAATTTAGAGTTGCCCTAAGTTTGGTCCTGGCTTAGTGCTGTAAGATGGACACACTTTAGTAGTCCCCCCAAGTCCCAGACATGGTATACCATAATAGGATGCAATGCTAGGCATTGTGGGAACATGCGGATAGCTGATCTTCCTCTACTGGACGTTACATCTAAACATTTCTAACAGTTTATAAATATATATTTTTTATGCCAAGAGATGATTTGAACTCTTAAAGGGATTCTATAGTGCCAGGAAAACAAAGCCATTTTCCTGACAATTTAAGCTCCCACAGTGCACCCTCCCTAGCACCCCCACCTCCTATGGGACTGAAGGGGTTAAAATCCCTTCAGTCACTTACCTGAATCCAGCGCCGATGTCCCCCAGCACTGGGTCAGGCTCTGCCCATGCTCCTCCCCCGCCGACGTTAGCCGGCGGGGGAAACATAATGACGCATTCGTGGCAATGACCGCACTCGCATTAGGATTTCCCTGTAGGAAAGCATTATTAAAAGCTTTGCTATGAGGAAAATCTTACGCTGGAGGTCCTAATGCAGAGCTGAAGTGGTCTGGGTGCTACACTGTCTCTTTAATTAAAAAAAAACTTTAAGATGAAACTATGATTTCACAGGAAAATATGCAACATTAAAATTTCACGTAATAATTCATTATATTTTAAATATATAGTAAAGATTTAGCCAGTGACATCACAGTCCAGTTCAGGCACAGAAAAGACACTCAATGCAAATGAGGAGTAAAAGCAGAAATATTGTTGTTCTATCTATGCCAATTGACATTGGTGTAAAGGCTGTTTTTATAACTATGATTGATGCACACAGTTTTAGGCTAGAGGTATATGTACAGGTGTAGATTTCTACTTTTAAAATGTAACTTGCAGATCTCGCAAATACATATTTGTTCAATATAGGTGAAAAATAAACATAATATTAAAATCCTGGATAGTTGCACTTTCTCTTTAAAATTATCTATACAGTAGCAGGGGAAATGGTTGGCAAAAATCATATATAACATATTACCTCTAAAGTGCCACTATGTCACATATTCAATTTTATCTGCGCCATGTAAAGATATTAAAATAAAAATTGAATTTGAAAAAGGCAGAGTGCACTCTAATGAGGTAAAGGTATTTATTCAGGAAAGCTACATGTAGCTTTCATTAATGTCCGAGTACATCCTCAGATCGAGATGTTATCATTACCCAACTTAATAGTGCTGATTTCTTCAAGCTTAGATTGGTGAAATGTTTAATTAATTCTACCAAGAATCAAACCCACAACTCAACGCAACAGTTACAACATTAACCACTGATCTATCTCACCAGCTTAAAGTGTTCTTCCCAAATCCATTATTTCATATCCCTTTCTAGAAAAGCCACAAATGGATGTGCTACACTTTTACAGGTTAATTTCTTACTCCGCCAAACGAGATTATAAATAAGTAAACACTCTCTGATCTTATTGCATGTGGCTGTATAAAATGCATCCGTTCCATAACGATTATTAAGAAAAAAAACATAAAAAGTCTCTTTTTCAGACCCTACCTTCTCCTCACTGACCATGGTTAGCAGTAAGCAGAAATTCTCAGATGATCATGTAAAGTCATCCTACCTGCCATCCAACATCACATAGCAGTGGCTGTGCTCAGGAGATGTCCCAGGTTATTGCAAATGATACAATGTAATTGAGCCCGGCAGAGACATTTGATAGCCAGTACGCTCTCTATGGCAACCAGGAAAGTAAAAATCAGTTACCGTATTGATCAAGGAAAGATGACAATGTAAAATGAGTATTGGCAACTTGTGATGACCCTCCTGGAATACATATCATGTTTACAGAAGAGGCATCAGGACAGCTGGCATATAAACCGATCTGAGTTAAAGGCGCCAGCCTCCTAATGAGCAAGAATTAACCAACGATAAATAATGTATTGTGAAACTATAGGTTAGAAAGATAACAAAGCTTCCTTTAATCAATAGCTTTGCTGGACTTGTGATTAGCCATTCAATCATTGTAAATTATTTACTGTGCAGTATTTGACTGTCTTGCAAACAGAGGAAGAAATCATGTAACTTAATGCCAAGGATGGCACACTATGAAATCACTAAGAGGTGGGCTCTGTTATTTTACTTTAGAATAAAGAACTCGTTAAAAGAGTTAATTAATTTGCTTTATTATAAGCAAATTAGTCTATTCTGTTAAAGGCGCTCTCCAAGCGCCAAAACCACGGCATTTTAATAAAGTGGTTTTGGTGCCTAGATGACGCCTAGATGATGTCCCTTTTCTGAGAGACATGTCGCTTCCTCATTGAAAACCTTTGTTTTGCAAAGGTCTCCATATTTGGCGTCATCATGTCCAGCCAGACGCCATAAATGCTCCTCTCAGTGATTGTGACCGAGAATGCATTTCCCAGAATGCATTGTATAGGTTCCCAATGCTTCTCACAGAGATTGAACTATGATGGACTTAGAATAGGCATAGTAAATGTCAACCAGAGACTTTTTTTTGCACTGGATTACAGATACGTTTTATGGTGTGGTATGCTCTATTTTTAATTTATTTTTATTTTACAAGAGGGAGCCTGAACTGAGAAAAAGAGAAGGGGGGGAAAGAAATGAACACACAAAGGCTTCTTTCTTGTTTGCCTTGTTTTGCTTATTGTACAGTGCTTTATAATACGTTGGAGCTATAGGCTGAACTTGATGGACGCATGTCTCTTTTCAGCTATGTAACTAAGTAACTATAAATAATTGTAATTGTTACTCGTGACATATGCCTCGCACCCAAATCAAGAACTGGAACAGAAAAGAGAGATGTGGCAGAGCAGATTGCTGACTGTCAGGTCTGCCACAGTCATGGTGGAAAGGGGTAGGAAGAGTTGTGATCTGAAGCTCCTACCCCCTTAATCCTAAATAATCCCTCTGAAAATAAATATATTACCTTTTAAGCTTTTTTAACTTAGCTCCTTTAGCTCTTTTAACTTAGATTTGAGTGGACATGGTAGCCAGAGAGTTTTTCTGTGTGCGTGCGAGTATATTTAAATGTGCATGTATCTGCGTATGCATATGAATGTGTGTGTGTATGTGTGTGTGTATAAGAATATGCATGCCTTACATACAGAGGTGGGTTGGGGGTGCAGAGAAACACTCCAAAATATTACAGCTCTGGAGTTTCCATGGATGCCAAGTAACCTCAGTGGGCCAAACAAGGTAAAACCCTTGTCCTTTATGTTTATTTTGTGTTATAAGTGGTGTGTGTATTCATATTTGTAAGGTAATTGGATATGTGCATTTCTGTGAATAGAGTGATGGGTGTGCCTTATGATAATACATGGGAGTATATCTGCATGTGGCGTGGTAGAGGAATGATATGTGTAGTTGGCATCCATATGTGAATTTCTTTCTGTAGCATGTGCATATGTGTGTGGTGAGCAAATATAGAAATAGATATGTAGACAGCAAATGGAAATACAGCCAATCGTATTAGGGGCAAGGACAATAACAATAGTGTAGTACCCTTTAGCTCTACAAAGGTGCAAACATAACTAGTACACTAACAAACACACGTACGAAATGTGTCTCACAGCAAGACAACTTGTCACGACCCCACGCGTTTCATCATGCTTGTGACATCCTCAGGGATTTCTCCTCCTGTGATGTCTCCTGCGCGCACATTTGTGCTTCCCCTGAGAGAAGCATTGAAAGCATCAAAGAGTGAGGACATCCGGCATCATTTCACAAAGAAAAACTCTGTGAAACACCAGGACGCACCTCTAGTGGCCACTAGAGGAGGAGTTAACCCTGCAAAATAATTATTGCAGTTTCTGTAAATCCACGATCACCTACATTGCAGGGTTAAGGGGACAAAAACACTGCACCCAGACCACTTCAATGGCATGAAGTGGTCAGGGCCTATAGTGTATAGTTTAGCGTGTACCCTGGTTGCATGTATCTGCATCATGGTAGATATTCTGACATACCTTCATTGTTACTGTTGAGGTATATACGCATATGATACTGAGCGTTTGAAGGATTTATGAGAACAAGATTTTTTTATTTTTTTTTTTTTTTATTTTTTTTCTTGTGCGCATAAGAACAGATAACAGTTGATCTTGCAGTGCCACAACAGCAACTGCAGGCTTATCTTGGACATTGAGACAATATGGCATGCAATTAAACAGAACATTTTTTGTTATTTTATCATGCTAAATTATCACGCTATACATGAAAGGTATATTAATGCAAGAACTACATTGCTAGACAGAAGATTTCAGACTGATCCATTGCAAGTTTTACTTATGAGCATTAGGCTGAAACAAGTAGCAGTGGTTTGTCTTAGGCTAAATTAAGTTACAATGGGCTGAGGATCCCCACATTACGATATGGTACATGTCTGACTGTGTTTCTTCAAGAGATAAATCATAAGGCAACTATAACAATTGTAACGTAGTATAAACATGTGAGTGAAATAAGCAAGCTATTTATGAGAAAAAGTTTTAAGTCAAACCTAAGAGAACTAAGTCTAGTATTTCCTTGTTCCTATTCCTTATATCACCAGTGACATCATATCATGTTCTATCATCATCCTGTGGTGGACCTCAACCAGGCTTAAAGGTACACCAACAATCCAGGTTTTGCCAGTATCCTCAACAGAAATGAACTGGAAAATGCTTTAACCCTGGCCTGTTGGTGCACCTACATGAATGGACTGGGAACCACAATCCTAAACCTTCCTGTATTGAGTATGTAGTGCTGAGTTCTGGATACCATTCCAGGTTTTGGCACCTGGGTAGATGATTGGCCTTACCCTAGACTAAGTAATGCCAATCCAATCCATTGCCTCCTTCTCCGACCACCACCACCACACTGGTCCTTTAAAATATCATGCAATTACTCAAGTTAAGGCGCCATTAAAATATTAAAAAAATATGATTGTAATCAATTTAATCTGTTAGTTTCCTTTCAAAAAATATGAACTCAGCACTCTACATGTGAATCTAAGGAATAAATCATGTATTGCTAACTCTTTGTTGATGAAGGTTTAATCACGAACGCATTCTGCAATTACGATCAGTAGACCTGGATATGAATACATTCATCAACACTGAAAGGAAAGAATAACTCACGCTGAATCTTGCTAACATGTTTCGAAATAATTTTTTTTAATTTGTTTCGCAGTTTTCACTAGAGAATCAATTTCAATTTCGAACTGGTATTGGAAAACTAGAAAATGATGATATTCATATTCTTTATTATTTAATAAGCATTAACTGGCATGTTAAAGGAAACATCCATCACAGATATATAAAATATAATCCTATTACACTGGGTTTCACCTTATCTACCGAAGGATCTCATGTTCAGATTTTTTTTTTTTTTTTTATATAATTCTATATGTGTATTGCAAAGTGAAATACAATATCTGGGCATTGTTCCTCTTATGTTGAAGCACAATTTAGGTTTGTTTTGCTTAAAACACCAGTAAAATCACTGGAAAACACAACGTTACATACACAACACAGATGGTAATGTAACTGTACTGCCACCTAGTGAACGTTAGTCCATTTACAAGCCTGAAGAAGGTGCCTACGAAATCATTTTAAACAGATATTTTAGACTCAAATCAAATTATGGATGGCCTCATTTGGTAATATAACCCAACGATACCGTTATTCACAACATCTAAATCTGAGTATAGTCATTTACATTCCTGAAATTGAGGAAATATGGCTAAAGGTAACAACTGTGCAGAGTAGGGGGGTTCGGATTAGGACATTTGGGTTAGTAGGTTTAGGGAAATTGGGTTATGAGTTGGGTGTTTATGAGAATTATTATAGTAATGAGGATTAGAGGGATTATTTAGGATTAAGGGGGTAGGAGCTTCAGATCACCACTGCTCCCAATCCTTTCTACCATGACTATGGCAGAACTGACAGACAGCAATCGGCTCTGCCACATCTCTCTTTTCTGTTCTAGTCCTTGATTTGGGTGCGAGGCATATGTCATGATTAACAATTACAATTATTTATAGTTACTTAGTTACATAGCTGAAAAGAGACATGTGGCCATCAAGTTCAGCCTATTGCTCCAACGTATTATAAAGCACTGTACAATAGGCAAAACAAGGCAAATGGTTAATTCTAAAAAACATGAGAACTCTGAGAATGTGCAAATGCTTTGAGAAACTCAGTAGCCTGCCCTTCGGTTAGTCCCTGCTTAGGTCTCAAAAATATATCAGGGATATCAGCAGCACCTCGCTGACAAGGCCCAAAGAAGGCCGAAAAGATTGTTAAAGGTTGGTGTATCTCTTGTGCAAAGAGAACTTGTTGGCATTTCGGTTCTGGACTGCCCTTATGGTTGGGATCAGTCTGATAGGCAAATGGCTTAGCTTCACTTTGTAATGACACAAGTGAGCAAATACATTTTTGAGACCTGAGCGGGGATTAAGCAAAGGGCTAGCTACTGAGTTTCTCTACGTTTTTTGCCTATTCTAAGACTTGTTGTCAATGAATTGTCACAAAACACATTTTATATATGGGAACAGTGGATGAAGCTTGCTCCAA